ATCGGCCGGCGTGACTATCAAATTATTGGGGCAAAAACAACAACAGTGCTCCTTACCCCCTCTCCCCCTCCCCCCGTTTATTCACCGACTGGCTGTTTCGCCGATAAATATTTTCTCACGAACTGGGCCCCCTCTTTGGTCAAGAAAAAAAATCGCCGCCCCTGGTTTGTTGTATAACAGGTGGTCAACTTTGGAAAAGTTACATACCACGACACAAGGGGAATGAGATCTGGAGGATTTTTAGGGTGGAACTTTTAAAATCTATAAAACACATTTAGAAGTTAACATAATTTATCGAAATATGAGGTGTATGGAGAACTAAACACCAACAGCAATAAACTTGTATTTGGATGACAGGAGCCTTTTAAGTACCATCAAAATATACCAAACTGCAGTTTGGTATATTTTTATGGTACTTAAGGGGGGGAGGGGGTAAGGAGCACTGTTTTTTTTGGGGGCCCCGATAATTTGAAAGTCGCGCCGGCCGATAATTCGCTCAGGAGGGGGGGGGGGGGGGGGGGGGGTATTGAGCACTATTTATTTGTTTGCCCTCGAAAATTTGAAAATCGCACCCACCGGGGGGGGGGGGAACCAACGAAATGCGAGGGGAAAATCTGTATTCCGTTGGTATCACGGTGGTACTGACGGAATACAGATTTTCTACAATTATTACATTTACTTGTATATTTTGAAGGATATATATGCGAGGGAGCGTAGCGACCGATCGAGAAGATTTTTGCATTTGTATTAGTCTAGACGCTACATTCTTGGGCCCTCCAGAGCTTAAAATTGTGTTGTAGTCTTTAGTCAGTATTTGCTATATATACCGGTATATTATGTTTGTGTGCATTTTTTTAACTTTACGGGGGGGGGGGGGGGACGATCCCCCCTTAAAACAAATTAAGAGGGGAGCATGTTCCCCCGGGTCACCGCCCCTGCAACAAAAAATAGCAACAAATAAGTTGCTATGTCAGACATGTCAGACTAAACATTTGGCTAAACAAATATTATACAATAGCCAATGGTATATAATTTTACCCAGCTCAGCACTCGATCATAACAGAATTGCGTACATGCATGCTTCCATACGTCATATACAATACATCATCATTGCCTTTGTCTTCCTGGTGATGCTACAGCATGTCTGACATAGCAACTTTTATGTTGCTATTGTATCACGTAAGGTAAAATTGTGAATACCATCTTTTTTCCCAACTTTTTTTTTGGTCAGGGGTTGGGTTCCCCTGGGCAGGCGCGGATCAAGGATTTCTTAGGGGGGGGGGGGGCCCAAATTTGAAAATAATGCGAGCCAAATATTGGTACGTAATGGTGACCAGCATTGACGTAATGGAGAGGGGTGCAGGGACGGGCGATTTCCCCCTCCCTCTTTCGCAAAGCGCCGAAGCTTTGATGTTTAGAGATTATTAGAGAAAGAAGACGATTCGTTGTACCGAAAAAAAATTATCCTCGTCTGAATACTGTTTTTCCCCTCCCGCGCAAAGCGCCGAAGCTTTGGCATTTCATTTAATTATTAGAGAAATAAGACGATTCGTTGTACCGTTCTCGACTCTTAATCCTTGTCTCAATTCAGTCCCCCCCCCCCTCCTGCGCGAAGCGCAGAAGCTTTGACGTTTCATTAAATTATTAGAGAGAGAAGACAATTCGTTGTACCGTTTTCGACTCTTAATCCTTGTCTCAATTCAGCCCCCCCCCCTCCTGCGCGAAGCGCAGAAGCTTTGATGTTTCATTAAATTATTAGAGAGAGAAGACAATTCGTTGTACCGTTCTCGACTCTTAATCCTTGTCTGAATTTCAAAAATGTTTTTCGTCTGCTCCTTGTTCTTCTTACGTCCTTTTCCTTTTCTCTCCTCTTTTTTTGGCCGGCGGTTTTTTTTTTTGGGGGGGGGGGGTGGGGGGGGGGGGGGGAGGCAAGGTCCTTTCGAACCCCACCCTTCTCCACACGTTGTTGGCGGGATTAACCGCGAATGATCTATTCCCCCTTCTTTTCACTTTTTTTTTTCCTTCTTCCTCTTTTTCTGTCCCTTTTAGCTCTCTCTTTTTCCTTTTCCTTCCTTCTCTCTCTTTTTTAACGGGGGGGGGGGGGGGAGGCAAGGGCCTTTTGCCCCACCCCACCCCGATCCACAACTTGTTGGCGGGAAAATTGCAACTCTTTCCCTTCTTTTCCTTCTCTCTCTCTCTCTCTCTCTCTCTCTCTCTTTGCGGGGGGGGGGGGGGGGCGGAAATTGGAAAAATTACGTCGTCAGATATTTCGTTCAGTGGCTTGGGGGGGGGGGGGAGGGGGTGGGAGAACACATTCTCCCCCCCCCCAAAAAAAAAAAAGAAAACCAAAAAAAATCTTTTCCCTTGTTTTCCTTCTTCCCCCCTTTCCCCCCTTCTTTTTTTTGTCCTTCTTTTTTCCGGGGGGGGGGGGGCGGGCCCCGACCCCCTGGATCCGCCACTGCCCCTGGGTTCGCCACTGTGACTACAACTAGAAATAGTGGGTTCTTAATAGAGCGTTCATGTCTGTCAGGCTTGACAATCCCGGCGCCCCCCGATCCATTAAGCACATCGATTGCTAACGTACTCCTCTTTTATCAAAAATGATGACGGATCTGTGTTCGATCTCAATATACAACGTCCAGGAAAAAATTGGGGCATAACTATCGAACAAACAAAAAGAGAACGTTAAGAATCTTCATATTGCGTGATTTAATTTCAGATAGGCCTATGCATGGGGCATTTTCTTTGGATAGTCCAAACATACAAAAATAATCTCATGTGTTTTTGCATCCTGATTCAACAGATTATGAAATTAACCATCACAATGTAACCCAGTGCCTTTAAGAAATTGAACTATCTGATTATTCAGTTTGTGTCGGATTCAGGAAATCATTAAAATCAGAAGATTGGAAAATGGAAAGGGAAGGGAAAAAGCAGGGAGATGTGAGTTTAAACTCACATCTCCCTGGAAGAAGATAACTCGAAAAAGAAACTTTTAAGAGGGCCCAAGAGAGAGAAAGAGTGAGAAAGAGGGAGAGAGAGAGAGAGAGAGAGGGGGGGGGGGCAGGGAGGGAGAGAGAGAGAGAGAGAGAGAGAGAGAGAGAGAGAGAGAGAGGGGGGGGGGGAGGGAGAAAGAGAAGATAGGGATGCCTAAATCCGCCGCTAAATGATTCTTTTTTAATTTTGTTCGGGCGCAAATTTGTCTCTGTTCATAATTTTATCAGAACTGGCCGAAGTTACATATTGCAACACGCTCATTTATTTACGCTTAAAAAAAAAGGATACTAGTAATAAAAGCTTTAAGTGCAATAATATATAAGTGGGTACTGAACTATACACATCTGAATTTGGGCTGTGGTACACCACTTTGGATTTTGCACTTAAAGTTGCGCATATTTCTTTCCCACACTAGTTCATGGACCTCGAGACTGGTAAATACCCTGCTATCAAAAACGTTTGAGACTAGCCTCTGGCTTTTGAAATCATGCGGTTTTAGAGGATGCGAGGCTTTGGAAGGGATGGCAGTGGTTGCACGGACCCAGGGGCGGCGATTTCTCTTCATGACCGGGGGGGGGGGGGGAATATTTTTTTAGGCATTTAATAACGGTCAGATGAGCATCTAGGGGCCCGCTTTAGGGGCCCTTGTTACTTTTCAGGGGGCGGAGCCCCCGGAAGCTCAGGGTTTTAAGCATTTAATAACGGTCAGATGAGTATCCAGGGCCTGCTTAAGGGCGGAGCCCCCGGAAGCTCAGGTTTTTAGGCATTTAATTATGGTCTGATGAGCAACCAGGGGCCCGCCATAGGGCCCTTGGTGGGGTACAGGGGAGAGAGCCCCCGGAAGCTCAGGAATAGACCATGACATTTCAGCAACATTTGTAAATCACTGGTATCGAAATAGAAATAAACCACGGAAACTGCCACCATCCCCCCCCCCCCCCCGTCATTACGCCAGTGCGAGGGAGCATAGTGAACGAGAGGGATGAAGGTAACGTAAGTGACTACCCCTTACAGGTTTTTGAAGTTTTGTTGTATTAAAAAATTACATTCCTTAGCAAAACAATAGTATAAAAACAAGCAATATACCTTTTTCACACTTCACTTTTCTACAATATTTACTTGTACAGTTTGAAGAATATTTTGCGAGGGAGCGTAGCTCCCGAGCGAGAAGATTTTTGCACTTTTATTCGTCTAAACGCTGCACTCATGGGCCGTCCAGAGCCTTACAGTTTATTGCAGTCTTTAGTCAGTATTTGCTATACACTTTTTTTGGGCACTTTTCCAAATTTTGAGGGGGGGGGGGGGGGGACGATCCCCCCTAAAAAAAATTGAGGGGGGACGTGTCCCCCCGTCCCCCGGGATCACCGCCCCTGCACGGACACACTTCAGTTGTGGGGCGGGGGGGGGGGGGGGAGGTGGGCGTCCTGACAAGATTCGCCGTATATTATATAAACAAAATAATGATTTGTTGAAATGTTGATATTTGGGCCTACTTGTCTTAAGACACATTTATTCAAAATTGATTTTGATGATTAACTTACTCTGCTCTGTTCACATTGATGTATATTTCATATGTATTGTAATTAGTAGGTTTATGTGCATTTTCTTTTTGTTTTGTTTAATATGTAATTGTTTATCTTTGTATTTTGTTTGTTATAGCGCTTAGAGACTTCGGTGGTAAGTGCTTTATAAGCACCGTTTTTATATTAATCCAAATAATCCCATGATAATTTGGTTATTTTTTCCAGACAATTTCTGCTCCCTCGCTATAGGCAGTGGTAGCTCTGGTGATGACATGACTGTTACAAACATCAGGGGGTGAATAATTTCCCAAAACTTTATTGTTTATCTAACCCGTTCTCCAATAACATGATTTTGGAAACCGGCCCACCTATAGCCGATTACTGATTACTGTCAAGTCGTTTTGCCCCGCCCCCTTCCCTAGCGATACCACGTGATGCTCTGCTGCACGATTTCTATTGTGTCAGGTGACCACCGGCGATCACATGAAGCTAGCTGGCTGTGCAGTGCAGTGCTCTTCCCTTTTTCGTGAAAACAAAGACAAAAAGAAGCAAATAGCCTGCTAATACTACTAAACTATGTGAGTACAAGCATTTATTATTTATTATGTTATGTTTTTATTATACTTTCATTATCGAATCGATCTAATCTTTGTGCATTTCAGCTTCCCTTTTCCCCAAGTTGTTAACATTACATCTTTAATTTATCTAAATCATGATGCATGATCATGATGTTTGTTTCCTTTTAGTACGTGCTTTGGCATAATCATCATAAAGAAATAGGAAACATGAAATGAAGTGGAAGTAGGGCGATTTAATGTAACTAAGTGCTTCTTTTTCTAACAAAGATCATACTTACATTAATTGGGCCGTCCTAAAGAATTATGAAACATAATGGCAGATTAACCTTCCAAGATCGAGCTATCTTAAATAATTATCATGATGAACTAATAAGATCTACATGTAAATGAAATGGAAAATACTGTCACAGTAGGAATTGCCATATTAAACAGTACACATAATGGTATTGCCACTTGTAAATTAAATTTTAGAAGGTATCCTTTATCCAATTTCCAGTCTTGCCAGGGCCGGCAGGGTAGCAGAAAAAGTAATCGTAAATTTTCCAGGACGGTTCTGGTCAAGACTCTTCTCTCCAAGTCCTAGTACTACTAGTGGATATCATTTTTAGTTGTAATGCTATTCATTATCAATAATCCTATCATATTTTACGGTCCCCCTCTCGTCCATTCTAATTCACTTTCCTCCCATCTATTTACCAAGATGACTCTCCAAATTATAACCATTTGTTTTTGTCTTTTGGCCAAACACCATCCGGCAGGAAGTTGTTGACGGGGAAATAGAGATCATACTTCCTCAAACTAATGATTTATCAAGATTTAATTTCTTTTCCTAAATCTTAGTGTAACCCATATTTTACGATCCCCCTCTCATCCATTCTAATTCACTTTCTTCCCATCTATTACCAATTCTTCCTCAACAGAATGGCTACTTCTTATCCGAAGACCATCTTTCTTGGGACCATGGCAATGTTGGCAATTGTGTCACTACCCTTGGTTTCCAGCAGGGGTGCTTTTAGGGCGATGTTCCACCCCAACCCACCGGCTTATGCCAGACAGTCAAAGGTCGATCCCGGGCAGCCTCTTTTTTAACACCATACATCGAGTCTGGGCAAATAGCTGAAGGTATGGTTCGTTTGGTTCCTCTCCTCATTTGGTTTCTAACGGGACGTTGAGGAGTATACCAAAGAAGAAGAGGAAGAAGAGGAAGAAGAAGAAGTTTAATGATGTCATAATTGGCAAAGAATTGTGTTAATCCCTTTAATCCAGTAGTAGGCAAAATTGAGGTTAATGGAGTTTCCATACAAAAAATCCTGTTAAGCATATTTACTGTTAACAGTGTTTTGTTACTAGCAACAAATGAGTAGCACAGTATATTTTTTTCTTCATTTTTCCTCCTATCGATTAGGCTATGTTAAAATGATACCTTGGTTCTCATCCAGATTTTTTTTCCAGAATGAGGGGGAGGAGGGGTGTATGTGTGTGTGTGTGGGGGGGGGGGGGGGTGTCTTTGTTCTTAGATACCAGTATTGGATATATATGGCTGTACTATGTAAATGCTATGACATTTCATTCAGCACATGTTCCCCAAATAAAAGATATATGTAATTCATTATGTCAATGGAGATTCTGTAGATAGAATAAAGTGATCTTTTGGATTTAACTTTGTTTAATATTTATATTCTCTTTGTTCATATTCTTTAATTCAGGTCAGAAACTAAGTCGAGTTGGACCCCTTGATGGCACTACAGTAGAAAGTTATTCAGGTAAAGAAGAATGGAGTAATCATATGGCTACCGCATACAGCTAAAGATAATATTTCAGACCTACAGCTGTGAAAAGTATCTTTAGATGTTTGGTTATCTTGACATTCTCTCTGTGGTAGTGGATCCATATCTGAAGAAACCCAAACTGTTTCCAAACTGTCATGTTGGTTTGTTAGAAAGACTTAAGAAGTTGACTATCAAGGGAAGTTATTGGAGTTTGCATTTCTATCATTTCAAAATGTGTCGAGTATTATAATTATTAGAGCGTTAATAAAAAAAAATTAGTTGCTTGTGTTAGTAACAGAAAAGGTTACAATTATCAATAATTTATGATTAAAAAAAAGAAGTTCACTATGTGAGTTTGTTTTCTTTGTTATCAAGCCATTCCTGAGATTTTTCTTTGATTTTGTGTCATAGCTTCCACATTTTTGACTGGGACCATTGCATTGAAAAATGTTACATTTGCAAACAATGCATTGTGAATGTGATCATTTCAGTGAAAATACCGCTTGAAGGCTATCTGGACTAGTTTGGCCAGGAGGGATTAGACCTCCCAGCGTGGTCACGAACGGGTGGTTATCTCATCAAATCAGCTCTCAATTAACATAAGAAAAAGAGGATCATGGGGGACCAATGGGTACCGCTTAGGCATTGTTTGCTATATGGAGGGCGCAAGTAGCTACAATTAGTGCAGTCCTGCCCAAGATAAAGAAATATCCCTTCATCAGAATATTTCATTGTTTGTGTCCTTTATTTGCATTCAGGATTTCTGACTGTCAACAGCACCTACAATAGTTCAATGTTCTTCTGGTTCTTCCCGGCCCAGGTTTGTAATTCTTCAACTTTTCAAAATTTGTTTTTTTTATCTCTGAGATTACTTAAAGTAGTAGAAAACCTGCAACTAAAATGATAGTAAATCATCAGTTAATGCCCAATTTATATTAACAGGAAATTACATAACTAGTAGATCAAATGAATATAGCCCAAAATGTTATTACTGTATGGAAATTGAAGAAGAAAAAAAAAAAAACGGATGATGAGACCATATGAATCATAAACAAAGGTAGTTAAATTCATAACCGGTTTGATACTTAGGTAGTAATGTATAAGCAAGAAAAACACATCTGGAACAAAAAATGCATAGTTTATTAGAGATGTTTCTTAATTTAAAGTTCTTTTTCGATCTATCTCGATGATATCTTAGGTAACATTAAGCCTATATTGAGATACTACATGTACACGTATTTACCAGCTCCATAACCTAACGATGTGATGATATTATGAATTAAAAAAATTATGCATTTTTGCTTTCTGGATGCATCTTGGTGTGATAAGCCAATTTTTCAACTCGCAGGTCGACATCAGTGCAAAACGCTAGCCAACAATCAAACTGTGTATATTCATTTTGTTGACTTTTCCCCATAATGCATCAAGTAAATTCGACCAAACGCTTATGTCGCTAGATGGCGCTATGGATTGTGCATCAACTGTATTTGTATCTATAATTATGTAGGCTAGCTATTATTTTGTAGAATTTCCAGACAAAAGATTCAAAATCCATCCCCTTTTGTCTCTTTCTCTCCTATCCAGAACAATGACCCATCAGCTCCTGTGTTGCTATGGTTACAAGGAGGTCCAGGAGGCTCCTCCCTCTTTGGACTATTTGCTGAGAATGGTCCCTTTCTTGTCACAAAAGATCTAAAATGTAGGTTTCTTGGTATTCTTGCATTTTGTTCATTGATATGCAATGATAGAAATAATGATTCACTTATAGCAATTTACCAGTATGTTAAAGTTTAGTGAGGGGGGATGGCTCAGTGGTAAATCAGTGGTCTTGTAACCGGGAGGGCTTGGGTTAGAAAAACATTCCGATACGCTAGTGCCCTTTTGTAAGGCATTAATCTTCATTACCAAGTCCCTTGGAGAGGACTTAAAGCTGTCGGTCCCTGGTTGTTTACTTACAAGCATGCACACATGCTTTCTTAGCAGTCAGGTAAGACAAAGAAAAGAAACCAACCAAACCAAAGAGATGATCTTTAATTCTAGTAATGACAAAGTAAAAGAAGAAAAAATTCACAGTCACACCAAACTTAGCCTGACTGTTCAATACTTCATCTACTGGACAGTTTTGTTAGATAATGTATGTACATGTAATAGCTGAATAATTAAATTTTCTTTGGCCACCATCCAGCAGAAAGTTGTTGACGAGGAAATAGAAATCATAATTCCTCAAACTGATGATTTATCAAGATTTTATTTCCTTTCTTATATCTTAGTGCAACCCAGGAAATGGGCATGGACTCAGAAGTATTCTATGCTGTATATAGATAACCCAGTAAGTACAATAATACATTTTGAAATATGCAATGAGTCTTTATTTGTACACATGACCAATTCAGCCGTTGGGCTGCGACACTTGTTTTTGATAAACCTTGAATTGAATTGAATTTATATGGATGTAACAAAAAATAATTAGGTCCTTTTCCATACTTTTTAAATTTTTTTTATTTGTTATATTCAGATGCTGGATAAAATAATGACTGGTATTCAATTCTTCATAGTTTTATGAACAGTCACAGTAAGAATGGTGTACTGTTCATGGTAGCACATTACCAAATTAAATTGAATTTTACACAATGCATGTAACTGAGAAAGTGGTAACATTCTCTACAAACTGGAACTCTTCTGGAGTACTCTACTGCCTACTCTCATTTGAATTCATACACAGTGTATTGAATGTAACAAAGAAATATAACAAAGAGTGAAATGTTCCCTTTCCCTCCAAAAAATATATACCGGTATACATGATTTAAAACACTTTGTGCATTTACTAAAATGAGAGTAGAAAACAATTGTAAATAAAAAGTAACTCCCGGCCTCCAGAGATATCATATTTCATGAAATTGACAAGATATTTTTTGAAGGTTTTCATGCACAATTCACTCTCGCTAATTTTCACGTACTGAATAAAGCCGTCAACTGCCTTATTTGCATTGAAAGTTAATTTTTTATGTGAATGCATGATTGAAAACTGATGAATGATGATGATGTCATTTCCTCTTTCTTTGTGTTAGGTTGGGACTGGTTTTAGTTTCACTCAGAATGATGCTGGGTACGCAAACAACGAGGAGGATGTAGCAGTCAACCTGTACAGGTATGAGAGATAAGCAATCTTTACACTTAAATCCCCACTGTACTACTTATAGCTACTTGTGCCGTCTATATAGCAAACAATGCCTAATCGGTGTCTGTTGGTCCCCCATGATCCCTTTTTTCTTATGTTAATTGATATCTGATTTGATGAGAACCACCTGTCAGTGACATTGCAGGGAGGTCTAATCCCCCTGGCCAAACTGGTGCAGACAGGCTTTAAGTTATCCTATTTTCATGCTTCCCTTTTGGCAATATTTGACACTAGAGTCGGACTTGTCTTAATTAGCAGCCACCTCCCTGTAAAGGCCACCCGTCTGTAGCGGTCACGTATATTGCCTCCCTCTTGGTAGAAACGTGTTGTAGAACCTGTCTAGAAAGGCCACATGTCTATGGTGGTCATCTACCTTGTCTCCGTTCAGAAAGAGACATGTCTTGTAGAACCTGTCTAGAAAGGCCACATGTCTATAGTGGTCATCTACCTTGTCTCCGTTCAGAAAGAGACATGTCTTGTAGAACCTGTCTAGAAAGGCCACATGTCTATAGTGGTCATCTACCTTGTCTCCGTTCAGAAAGAGACATGTCTTGTAGAACCTGTCTAGAAAGGCCGCCTGTCTATAGTGGTCATCTACCTTGTCTCCGTTCAGAAAGAGACATGTCTTGTAGAACCTGTCTTGAAAGGCCACATGTCTATAGTGGTCATCTACCTTGTCTCCGTTCAGAAAGAGACATGTCTTGTAGAACCTGTCTTGAAAGGCCGCCTGTCTATAGTGGTCATCTACCTTGTCTCCGTTCAGAAAGAGACATGTCTTGTAGAACCTGTCTAGAAAGGCCACATGTCTATAGTGGTCATCTACCTTGTCTCCGTTCAGAAAGAGACATGTCTTGTAGAACCTGTCTAGAAAGGCCACCTGTCTACAGTGGCCAGTTCTGCCATGTTTTCATAGGATGGCCATAATAAACAACAAGTTTCACTGTACATCTTCATTTTTTTGCCATGAGATTGTAGTTTGAGGGAAACTTGCTAAAATCATCTTTTGTTTATGATATAGAAGCAAAATTATTTGGACCAGAAAGTATCCGCAAAACATCAACAAATTGGACAGGTATATATTGTTCTGAAAAGCAGAACACAAATGAGACCACTTGTTATTCACATTGATCAGTCTTTCCCCCCAAATATTCCAGTGATTTGAACTCTGAAAACAAAGGAATACCAAGGAGGCTAATTGATCCTGTAATATGCTTTTCTATTTTAAAATGAAAGAATTCAGTAACGCTATGTGGGTGCCTTATTGAAAAGACTCTGTTACCACAAGAATGTGCATATTGCATCTAAAGAGAGATGGAGGAAAAGTATAAGTAAGAAAAGGGAAAAAAAAAGAAAGAACAAAAATGATCATGAAATTAATTCAGATTATGCACTGAGACAAGAGTTTTCTAAAAAATGTTTTATTGTTTGTACAACAACAAATAAGGTGGATCTGAGCTTTACTTTGTAGGTATAATCTCTCGATGAAAACTGATATTGAGAATTTAATAAATTCCATCTCCTAAAACTTCTGTTAATCACAAAACTCCCATTTGCAAAGATTGAGAATGATTTGTTTTCTTTTTTGTAGTGCTTTGACACAGTTCTTCCAGCTGTTTCCTAAACATCAGAAGAATGAATTCTATGCGACAGGAGAGGTGAGATATTTTGTAATCACTTGTAAAAAAAAACAAGAAAAATGATTTGATTAAAATGTTATAAACATTGCTGTGTGATGTTACCATTGTTATTTTGCTATATTGCTTTTGTATTTTGATGTTTGTACTGTATTGTAAATATCTGATTACTTTGTAAAACAGACAACATCAGCCTTGAGCTTGATGTCATGTTGTTTTTTAATATAAAGCCAATTTAATTACCTTGACCTACCTTGACCTAAGCCATTCACAACATCTGGGAGATGTGTGGTGGTTTCTGCTACATGACCTCAAGCCAGATCTTCCTATCTTGTGATGTTCTGGTTGCTTTAAGGGATCCTAGACATCTGGTAGCACAATCAGCCTTCACACAATCTAACCATTTCTTGACTGGTTAATTTCAATCAATCAATTATTATTTGACATGAATAACATGGAATATCAATCTAAACTGCTGTACATATATGTTGACTATAACTTTAGATTACAAACACTTCTTAACCCTCAATTTCTCATCCTTTTGCTCTCGCCTTCAGTCGTATGCGGGAAAGTACGTACCAGCTATCTGTTATAAGATCCATACCGAGAACCCGACGGCTAAGGTCCACATCAATCTGCAAGGAATGGCCATCGGGGATGGTCTTGTTGACCCCTACTCGGTAGGTCAGAGGTCATGATTATGGACTGTGTAAGCCGACTCCTGGGACACGTTAGATATACTTTTATGTAATCACAATTTTAGAAACTAAAGTTGTAAAAAAATTATAGCTCTTTTCTAAAGGTAAAGAAAAGAACTATTTATGTACAGGTTTCACTGTATTTTCATTATTAAGGTATCGTTTAACAATGTTAAATCTGAGATGCATGGCTCTACGTGTTATCAGTGTCTGTGATATGGTGTAATATTGAAGATTGAAAATTGGGCTTCAAAATGACCATGAAGTTTGAGATCAAAGTTTGACTTTGAGTGACCGGTTTTATCATACTCATTTTCCCCAATAGACTGTCATGTTGAAAAAAACCATTAGGAAAACGGTTTTTGAAATTTCGATTTCCGATCACAAATATCTTGATAATCAGACAGGCAATTGGCTTGTTAAAGTCATGGGATTCCTGACTGACCTAAAGGTTTATAATTATCATTGCAGCATGAGCTAAATGCAGGACTTGCTATAGAATCTGAGGCAAAGATACAATCCCTTTAATGAAGATTCATATTAGTTGGTACATTGTTTTAAAATACACTAACATCTCTCCTACTGTTGCAGATGTTTCAAGGGTATGGCGACCTGATGTATCAGACGAGTCAGGTGGACCTGAAGCAGAAGAAAGTTGTGGATCAATACACCGCCAAGGGAACCGACTTCATTAATCAGGGAAAATGGCTGGAATGTTTTGAGGTGAGAGAAGCTTTTAGAGCCTTCACTTTTATCCTGCGATGTGACCCCTATAGTCACCAATACAATAACGCTTTGTAGCCAATGTTAAAGACGCATAGTAGTGGGCTCTCATGGGGAATTTGACACCATTCAGGTGTTTACCAAATAACGGGTGTTGTCAATCACCAGGATTAGCCTTCAGTTTTATGACCAACAGGACTTAATAAAGGCATCGTTTAACAATTTTGAATTTGAGATGCATGGCCCTACGACTAATTCAGTGTTTGTCGGATATGGTGTAATATTGAAGCCCTAAAAAAATGCGCTTCAAAATGATCATGAAGTTCCTCAAAAAAGTTAAAATCTTTGAGTGACCGGTTTTACCATACTCATTTTCCCCAATAGACTAATGCTATAAAAACTGTTAGGAAAACGCAAAATTTGATTTTGATTTCCAATCATAGATATCTTGATAATCAGACAGGCGATCGGCTTGTAAATGTCATGGGATTCATGTATGCCCTAAAGGTTTATAATTATGATTGCAGCATGAGCTAAATCAAGGTTTTTTAGGATCCGAGACAAAGTTATACCCAATCCCTTTAAATAGTTAGCATGGTGTCCTTCTCTTTTTCAACTCATATCGGTTTCTGAGTTTGTCTTTTGCAACTAAATTTAATATAATGGATTCTCTCTCTCTCTCTCTCTCTCTTTATCTTCCATAGCAATTTGACATAGTGCTGAATGGAGACCTGTTTCCATATCCTACTTTCTACTTCAATGCAACAGGATCCAATAACTACTACAACTTCATGATGACAACTGTAAGTTTCCCTCTTTTTCTTTGATTTAGTAATTTATGATCAATTATATTGAAGCTATTTCAATATATATTTTATTCAAAATTGTGGCATGTTTTTCCTTGTTTTCTTTTGTTTATAACAGTATGTTTTCAATGTTGTTTATAAACAAAATTCATATAAGATAAAAATATATCAATCCTACCTATGTCTCCCACTGACTTTTATAATCTGGGAGGATCCCTTGGAAACAAAATTTCCTTGCCCTGCCTTTCTGACAATTCTATATCTGTCCTCGGTGCTCCTAATTTAGAGAAGACAAACTTATTGTTCAGCCCTTTTAAATTAAAAAAAAAAAAATCCACAAATACTAGGTTTTTAAAGATATTGGAGGCTGTCCACTCTCTTAATTCAACATAAATTTTGTTTACCTTGTTACCCCCCCCCCCCCCATGTTCAACTTTCAACAGACACTACAGGGAATAATTTCCAGCCAAAAATTTGCATAGCAAATCTGCTACACAAAATAATTTTTGCATAGCAGTTGGATGAACTTGTATAGCAATTTTTTTTTCATGTTATAAATTACAGTGCAAAAACAATGACGTCACAACATCTGGTCATGAATGCATACTTACTACATTTTATGTACATTGATTCTGGTGTAATCTCCCAGCACTTTCTTCATACTCGATCCATTCCCTTTTCTGGTCTAAATCCTTAATCCAACCTTCCACAGTAACTACACATATTGACACCATGTTTTGAAAATGACAAAAATATCGGTCCAACAATAAATCCAGAGACGAGTCGAGTCTTAAATCCAAATAAATCCAGTAACTTTGAATCGTATCGAGGGTATACAACAACACGTAGTATTAGCTCGCACATCGAGCGCGATTGAGCCTGCCCTGGATATATAATTAGTTCACCACGTGCGTGCATTGTTGTCTGCATCGCAACAACACTCACGGCTAAAAGGTGACCGTAGACACTCATCGCCGATAGTGCGCTATGTAGGTGTGTGTAGCTTCACGGTTAGAAAGTGACTGTAGTACGCTTAGCGCTCAGTGCTGGCCAGCCTGGCCTAGCCAAGCCTGCCTGGGATATATGGATTGGATATCGGAGCGTCGAGGGTGTATGTAGTTTGTGGATTGGCGGTCTGTGTATATGAATGTACGTTTCGCTTGCATCGCAGCAATTGCGATTCATGAAAAAAGATGCGTCGCAAATGGCTGAAAATACATCGCGAATTGCGATGCGATACCGGGAAAATTATTCCCTGCACTAACAACTGCAATCATTACCTAGCTCAACCTGTTGTGCGACAAACCATCTAATTTTTGTCATCCAAATAAAGAATGTTCTTTTGTATTTTATATTTATTTATTTATTCCAATTGTGGTATGGAACACCCTTTTCAACATCAGTACTGTTTTTCATAATACTGCCAGTTCTCTTCATCTGTTATCTTTGAGAAGACACAGCTATATGTCCATTCTTTTCATTTGACATAAAGTCTGTTTTCCTTGAACCCACCCCTTCTGGGGGGAGGGGGTGTTTCACAAAGATCTTAAGTTGAACTTATCTCTAAGTCGGACTTCACAATTATGGAAAGCGCGTTAGCATCTATGAAAATATTTTAGTAAAAGTTACTTCAAAAGGCATAAAATGCTGATTCAAATCATTCATATTTTCTATTATCAAGGAGGTTTCATGTTCTTGATGTTAAATATATAAAAAGTCTATAATATTTTAATTTTTGCTTTTTAATATATATTTTATTTTAAGGCTACAAATTGCTCTCTATAATTTTTAAGTCCAACTTTGAGATAACTTGACTTAGGATCTTTGTGAAACACCCCCCTGCTCTGTTTAGCTTCCAGCAGACACAAACTACTACAACAACTACCTGGCTTTTCCCGAGGTGAGACGAGCCATCCATGTTGGCAACCTCACCTACAACGACGGCAGCAAGGTGGAGGACCACCTTAGGGAAGATATCTGCAAGAGCGTCAAAGACTGGACTGTGGTGCTGGCTGATAACTACAGGGTGAGTTGTGTAATATAGTTGTGGTGTAGAATTTGGGAGTTGACCCCCATCCCCTTCCCTTCCCTATCCCTTTTACAAAATCCTGGAGCTTGCCCCGGATGGTGCAAGACAGATTGTTGTAGAACTAAGTAATAAAGCCAAAGTAATGAACGTATCACCTCTTTATCAAACAACAGTCAAATCTATATCATGTCACCCATTTCATTGGATTCTAAAGAGTACTGGTCAGCATAAAATATGGGCTTTCCAGAATTACTCACCTTCTCATCCTTTCTTTTCTGATATCATAACAGTGCATGTTCTACAGCGGTCAGCTTGACATCATAGTCGGAGCAGCCCTCACCGAGAACTTCCTTCAAGGCTTAGCATGGGCTGGGCAAGACGGCTACCTCAACTCCAATAAAACAATCTGGAAAGTCGACCCAAGTGACACAGAAGTTGCAGGCTTTGTCAGGCAATACAAAGAGTTCTACCAGGTAAGAACTGTTTTTAAGTCATCATTTTTATGCATTAAATCAGTTAACCTGTTGACTTCTGAATTGTATAGGTCCCATAGGCTTAACACAGAGACCACCAGGTTCCAGTAAGCAAACGGTTAATAGACTCCGCAAAAAAAAGATAGTGGACACTCTCCATTGTTCTAAATTTTTGTATAAACCGTCCTTAAAATTCAATAAAATATATATCAAACTAAAGGAAAGTTAATACCCTACCAAAATCAATGAATATCAAGTTTTTGAACTTTCATGCTATCTAAAGGCATATTCATTTAACCATTAGATGGTCTGATTAAGAATATATGCATCTGTGAGACACTTTGGTTCAACAATGAAAACAAAGTATGGGAAACATCTAATCCACTGAACACAATATATGGGTAGAAATCAGAATCACTCATTTAGATATTAAGTATTGATAAGGAAAAAAAGGGGGGGGGGGGGGGTGTAGGGAGATGTGAGTTGGTCTAGTGGTTTTGTCCGCGGTACGGTCAGCTCTCCGTCTTCACTTACAAACTGACTTGGCAGACCTCGGTTCGAGACTGAGACACGTCTTTCGGATGGTGACGGTAAAGGTTGGTCCCCAGACGTAAATAATCATACCTGATTGATTGATAAAACCCAAATTGCATTAATAAATCGTGATAGGCCTACCTCTTATTCACATTCTAATTCCTGTGTCTCTGCTTACTTGTTGATTCCAGGTGACTGTACGAGGAGGCGGGCACCTTTTGCCTCATGACCAACCAGAGAGGAGCTTTGATATGATTGACAGGTTCATCACTAAACAATCGTTTGACAAGTAAAGTCTCCCTCAGATATGATGTGGTAGACCTCTGTGTTTTTTTTTAGGATGATGTAACTGTAATACTCTTCACATTTCTTTATCTTATAACAGAGAGCTCAATTTCCATTGCTATACATCATGCACAAATATATGCACAAAAGAAATGGTGAATAGATCACAATAGAAAAATATGAAATTGCCAATTTTGTGTAAAACTGTTATAAACATTTAGAAATGTCTTATCCCTTAAAAACTATTCTTTTAACCCTTTCTGACCAATTTCTCTTATTTTTCTGCTTTGGGGACTTTTCCTTTGATGTTTGAATCCTGTTTGCTGTTGCTTTCATTCTATAACTGGACCCCTCATGAAACTTCTTATTCATCAAATGTTTCAATATTTTCTACTTGACTGTATAAGTTACTTGTGTCATTGCATGTGATTATCTATGAGCATATTTGTTATAGTAATATGACACTTGTTATTGATAATTTGTTTAATGGAACAGGACCATGATTTTCCACAATACAACATCGGGACATTTTGAAATATGAAAGTTGTTGCTATGTCAGGCATGTCCTATCATTTGCTTCCTGTATTTTTTAAAATAGGGCTTTTAAACAGTAGTATCCACCTTTATGTAACCTCTTCCTCAAGTGCCTTACACTGGTCCTCAGAATAAGGGGGGGGGGGGGGGGGGTTCAGGGGGCTCAAGCCCCCCTGACATTTTAACCAAAATTATACTGCATTGTGGGGACTTTACTCATCTTTGACCGACCTTACTTTTAATATTTATGCATCGATTCTCTGCATAAAAACATGGATGTAGAAATGACACAATCATTTTTTTTCTTCACGTAGTGTTTGTTGTGTTTGAAAATACATTTGTATAACAAAAATTATGATCAAAGGAAAATATGAAGTGAGTCTGGGAATTGAGACTACATCTGAACATGTGCAAAACTATTTATGTGCAGAGAGAGGATGTGCCTCGAGATTCTTGATGAGGCTGAGCATGTCATTAACTGAAATCACATTTCCTGAAAATATTTTTGTTGTACTTTATGCCATATGGGATTTCCAGCAGTTAAAAGAAATGGCTCTTTTTTTTGACAATCAGTCACACATTGCCATGGAATATTCCTCCAGAATTTAATCACTTGGAAGGTCTTAAACCTTAAAATGTTTTTGAAAATTTGTATTAAATACATTTATACAAAGAAGAAAAAATATTCTGCCTATGAATTTAGAAATCCTGTATAATTGGTGCCAAAGGAAATGGGATAATAATGGTAGTACAGCTTAAATTCAAGTTCCCCATTGCTGTCCTCCGTTTTTGAAATTTTTTCAAAGGTTAAAAAAAAATGTAACTCATGAATTGAACCTGGGCTCCTAGCTTAGAACGCCAGTGCCTTAAACCACTAGGCCATGGAGATTAGGTTAGTTCTAGTGGCAAGTTTCCACTGAACCATTATTCTTTTATTTCATTTTGCACTGTATGTATTTCTACAAGTTGCCAATTGCATGTGTTGTATACAAGTTATAGTACACTCATTTACATGTTTGTATACCGGTACTCATATATATTTTGGTTTATTTACAATGTATACAAAAGTGTTCAAGTCATACTCTAAAAGATTGTATTTGTGATGTACCATGCTAGTCCTTATTTTAAGCCCACAACACGCTGTAAGATCCGACTGCGATCCAATTTTTGAAGAATTTTCAATAGCATTTGATATGAACATTCAAACATCTTAAATCTTTAATGACCAAGGATCTGAATAGTCTTCTGATTAAGAAAATCTAAATGTCAAGGGATTTTAATGCTTCCATTGAAGAGGAAAAGCGAACTCAGCTCAGAATCGTAGTTAGGTAAGACCAGCAGTGGGATTGTCTACAATGCAGCTTTTGTTCTGACTAGAAGAGTACAATTCACAAAAATTCTGTTTTCAGTATCCTTAACATTATTTAGAAGCTAAATCAGGAAGTTGATGTTTTTTTAGATTTCCACACCTAATATGATTGGAATTTCCCTGAAAATAGGATCACAGGAGGATCGTAAAGTGTGCTGTTTTTTTTAGAAATGCAATTACCCTCATTTCAGTGCAGAGGCTGAGACACATACATCTGGATGGATGTGTGTACAGGCATATGTTTGAAAATGAAGCGGATATAGGTAGGCCAACGTAATTGAGATTGTCAAGTACTATATACTTCAACCAAGGACAACACATAGAAGAGATGACCTTAGATACCAGTATTTGTTTGATTTTTATTTGATATTCGGTTACACATCGCCTATAAAGAATATTGCTTTCGATATAATCACTTGGAATGCACCAACTTTCAAATCTTTATTTCAAATTTGTATTCAGTGCATTTATCAGAGAAAAATGTTGATGTGAATGATCAGAAAATCCTGTATAATTAGAATCATGCACAAAAATATTTATATATGTAGTTACGTATACACGATGTATTTTTATGTGCAAGATTGCTTTTTGGACACACAGGGCAAGTTCCATATTTACTGTATATGCTCATCCTAATTTTGAAGACATATTATGTACCTGTCTTTCTGCTCAAGGCTCAGGTATACATACAGGTATGTACAGGAATATAATGGAGATGACACTGGGTACAATAGAACTTTGGGATTCCAGCCTTTCAAGTACTCACTTTGATTTTAGATATATACATAGGTCTTTCATGTTTATACAAACAAGTACATTGCACATGCTACTTATTATTTCCTTCTTGGGGGAAGGCTTGGAGAAGGGACATTAAAGGGAAAGCCCTCCCTGACGTTTTAGTTGGTTTCAATAAAAGCAGACAAAATGGGAGAAACAGATTAGTGAAAGTTTGAGCCAATTCCCATCTAAACGAAATAAAAAAGTTCAGAATGTAGGAAATCTTTGATGTATCTTTTGAAGTCCTCAGCCAATTTGCCCTCTATGTATTAAATTTCCTTTTTAGGACAACTTATTGATAAAGGAATAGATTTGTTTCAATAAAAGGTTGTGTAAGAACATATTTGAGTGAATATATTAACAATACATGTATGATTGATGACTTTCATTAGAGAAAATTAAATATTGTGTCGTTGTTTTTTAGTACAGAGTAAATGGAGAAGACTTTGCAAGATACGCAAAGAATTGCCGATTTGCATTTGATGGATTGCAACTTCAAAATTAATATATTTGGTTTTTTTTTTTCAAATTAGATTTAGTGCAAACTTTCACTCAACTGCTTCTCTATTTTGTTTCTGCTTCTATTAAAACCAACTTAATATCGGGGTGGACTTCCCCTTTTAGAAAATAAATGCATCATGGCATGAAAACATGGATATTAAATGATGATGGTGATGATGATGATAAAGATATTATCATTAATGGTACAGGATAATTTCTGATTCATGCAATTAAATATATGTTTATATTTCAAGAATGTAAGAAATTTGAAAAAGAAATATGTACAGTGGATCTGTATCTCGATTTTAACTGTTACTCTGGTATTTTGAATAAATAAATCTGACCATATTTTTGAGTTATGTAGTTTATTTTGAAAGATGCTGTGAAGTGCTGAGAGATAGAATATGTGTGTGTGTGTGTGTGTGTGTGCTTGGAGAGAATTTTATACAACAGTTTTGTAAATTCGTTGTGAATGTAATAATATACAAAAGAAACAAAAAGGCATGCATTCTACTAATTCTGTTAAACTAGACCCTGCATGAAAGATCATGTTTAAAAAAGAAAAATATTTAGACCTCCAACGAACTTCCTTAATTTGTTAACCCGATTTGAACAAAGGGTTAAGGTCCACCGTGTTTTGTAGTCATTGTATTTGTTGTTCTTTAGAATGGATTATGTGCAAATCAGAAAGTAAAAAAGAAGAAACTGACAGAGTATTGCAATGTATTGTTAGTTCGCTCATTTATTTTAATTTCCAGTTATAAAAATAAAGTTAAATACCATGTAATACATACAAATAAAGACATCATTTGCTCACACAAAAGAGTTGTAGATATCGAAATAACTGTGGCACAATGAATTCATAATAACTTAGGTAACATGAGAAGAAAAATGATATAACAAATACAAATAAAATATTGCAACATTTAAAATACTTTCCACCCTATGGAAGACGCAACTACCCTGAATAGTAAGATATAAGTAAAGTAATTTTAAAATTTGATAGGTTACAAATTAAATGAAGGATTCAGACCTTACGTCTGTTTTTAAGTTTTCTTGAACATTCTCAATTAATTTCGTTTTTTGGATGTTTGAAAAAGAAAGAGTGACACTTATCAAGAGAGGTTAGTTCAGACACATGAACTAATGAACAGAACGTATTAAGTTACATAACCTGATAAGATATTTTGGTGAAACGTAAGAATGTCAAATGATATATATATTTCAGTGTATTTACTTATGAATGGGGTAACCATGTACAAGCAAATTTATCAAATAATTCTACAAACACAAATATTACATAGTTCATACACATTATAACATACGAAGTTGCCATCATGTAATTTTTTTCTACCAACAGGTCCAGATTTTCTTACTGGCGGTAAAAACGTCACAGTCAAAAGCATTTTCGAATTGTATGTAATCTAAAATAGTGCAATCAATTCCTAAGGCCTGCTTGAATTCATTTACATATACATGTAGACATATCACTTTTGTATTTTTTTTTGCATATCCAGCAATTGATATATAGGGAAGGAAACGGAGCGGAACCCCTTTACAAGCAGTGTGGTTGGTGCAATGAAACCAATAACAAGTTTAATTGACCCCCATCCCCTTCAGAACAAGGGGTGGGTGACACACACACAATCACAGAGTCACATGGGTAATTTCATAAATTAGGGGCCCACTTTGTGACATTTTTGGAGTCCCTCTTAAATAAGGAGCCCACACGTTGTTGTGTCTCTGGAGATAGATTGTAAAGTGATTTCCAAGCATAATATTGCATCCTCATACCTAAAATCACTTAACAATCTCACTCCACTATTTAAGTCTTTACTCAGAGCTACAAATGCGTCTGGGTTCCTTATTATAGTGGGACACCAAAAATGTCAGAAAAGTGGGTCCCTTATTTATGGAATTACCCATATTGTTCTGTGGATGACCTTATTAGCGGAATAATAGGAAAGGAGGGGGCAATGTCCCCTTGTGTCCGGCCCCAACATCATCATGGGTATGCCTCTGCATTTTAACCCTTTTTTGTCTAACCGTGAAATCTTCCTAAGAAGTTTACATCTCTTCTTCAAATTCTGACTATTGCAAAATGCGAGATCTGTCACAATATTGATATATCATAGACATCACAAATATGTCCCTTTGCGGTGTTCTGGAGAGATGGGAAAAAAGGATAGAGTTAGATACGCTTTCCATTCTTCATTAAATCATCAGTTAACATTCGAAATGTTTTTTTTAAGTCTCTTTATCAGTGGAATCTGTCTATAGCCTCTTTAAAAAAAAAAAACCCTCGAGAAAGAAATGTGTGCTATAGAACCTGTCTAGAAAGGCCACCTGTCTGCAGTACCGCTTTCTCTGTTTCCCTTGGTGGCTTTTATAGACGGGCCTGACTCTAGAATTTTCCATCATGGATTTGTAAATACATAAATGTATATCTATCAATTAATCAACATTGCCATACATATTATGATTTCGTTTCTCAGTAAAAGTAAATATTACTATTAACAGCTGACTGTGATGTTTCTATGTATTTATTCAATATATATATATATATATATATATATATTTGTCCAACGTTATTCAAATTGGATATTTGGTCTGCTCACATGTAAACATTTCTAGTATCACTACTTTTTACTAAGTTACTTAAGGCGTCATGCAAATAATTTTCTGTAGATTTCTGAGAAATTTTATACACATTTTAGATGCATCGAAACCAACAATAAAATTGATTACAAAAATATACACGCACACACACGCACACACGCATACAAAACCCCCGCAAAACAAAACGACACACGCCCACATACCCATACCCACACACACGCACACACACATACGCACACATACACACACTCATATCTATATTTCATATAATTCAGTAAGTCAATCTCAGTGCCGGAAAAGGCTAATGTCATGGGGAGGAGGAAGAGCAGAATGAGGGGTCATGTTACTTTGGGGGTCATCTCCCTCAGACACGTTCTTTATTCCCCCTCTCCTTTTATATCTCTCTTTAGTTATCTCTCTACCTCACTCTCTTTTCGAACGCAAGATGAAAACAATCAACATAATATATTTCCTCCTGTTCTACAACAATTGGTCTCAGTCAGAACTCATCGGGTCTGACGTCATAATGATCATAGACTATAATATTGGGAAAGCGGATAACAGGAAGAAAGAGAGAGAGAAAGAGATAGATAGAGAAAGTGAGAGAGAGAGAGAGAGAGAAGAAGGAAGCGAGGGAAAGATGGAGAAAGAAAAAGAGAGAGAGAGAGGGAGGGCGAACAGAATTTTGATACTCTTCAAAGGAAAGCTATAGTTTGGAATTCAGGCTTTGTTCTCAATATAGAATTTGTGTGGATTTCTAGAATGATTCGAATCGAGGAATATTACAGAATGAACACATCTCCATATCATTATGATTATGACTGCATAGAGCTCCAAATGGTAACCGCCCATCTGCGTCTCATCAGACTGAACAGACACAAACTAAAACAGATACGACGTTGAGGTAACATAGCGTCTGTCCAAGGTTCCACACTGTAGACTATCTTTTAAGGACACAGCCAATGAAACATTTGGTTAGACTTCATTCAAAGCACGTTGCTTGTTCGTTTTAAGAACCCGATGAGAGTCTTGACCTGCATACTAAGTAATCTATCATTTCATTTTAAATCCTGGTCATGGAGATAAACGTTCTTCTTCACCTTCTTCTTTTTTCTTCTTTCGAATATAACATCCTGTTCCGGCCAATCATCCATATCTCGCATCACAAGACCACAAATTGCACATGCGAATATAAGAACCATGACGCCTGCATAGCACATTACGCACATAACAGCAAACCAGTTATCACTTGTCTTTCGATTGTGAATGCGACATTCTTTGAATTTGTGATTCCAGTCTGTTTTGACCACATCAACGCTTATTTTGGTATATAATGTGGAGAGAGAAAAATTGGCGGAATTTTCATAACGGATCTGTGAAAGTCCATCGGTTTTCATCCGGATAATTGCATGGGCAGCAAGACAGTGTCTGTAGAGAGATTGGGAGAGAGAGAGAGAGAGAGAGTTATTTTTCACTCACTTATTTATTAATCTATGCATTATCTATATGGTCAAGATAAATTGAATTTCACCATTAAAAATAAAAACACATCTGGTGAATAGAGCCAAAAAAAGGATACAGCTATTCAATGTTGACTTCGTTCAATATACTTTTTTACAATCAGGATAATCATGGGATTATAAAGAATAAATTTTCATTTGCTCGATTGTGGAAACGTTTCTGTTGTAAGATAACTCAGTCTTCAATTTCAAACAAGATTAAAAATGAACAGTTAAAATTATGGTATGGATAAGAGTTAAAACTATGATTAGTACAAGAGTTAAAATTATGATCAGGATAAGAGTTAAAATTATTGTCAGGTTAAGAGTTAAAATCATGATCAGGAATCAGGATAAAAGTTTCAATTATGATCAAGGTAAGAGTTAAAATCATGGTCAGGATAAGAGTAAAATGTGTGGTGAGGATAAGAGTTAAAATTATGGTGAGGATAAGAGTTAAAAGTATGTTCAGGATAAGAGCTGAAATTATGTTCAGGATAAGAGTGACAAATTATTGGTAGGATAAAATTACAAAAGTATGATCAGATTAAGAGTTAAAATTATGGTCAGGATAAGAGTTAAAATTATGGTCAGGATAAGAGTTAAAATTATGGTCAGGATAAGAGTTAAAATTATGGTCAGGATAAGAGATACAAATTTTGATTAGGATAAGAGTTAAAATTATGGTCAGGATAAGAGTTAAAATTGCGGTCAGGATAAGGGTTAAAAGTATGGTAAGAATAAGAGTTAATTCATTGTTATTAATATTAATATTATTATCATTATCTCTTTATTATTATATATTATTTTCATAATAATAATCATTATTACTGTTTTTATCAATATTGTTATTTTAATCTGTATCATTATCATTACTATTATTAATATCATTAGTATTATCATCATCGTTATTATCAACCGTGGAAAGAAGCCACAAATCAGATTAAGAATTAAATCTAGGGCTGGATTAATGATTAAAAATAGAATTGGTCAGGAATTAATATTTACTTGAATTAGCATTAGAGTATGGTTAAAAGCAAAATATAAACAAAAGAAGTGATAATTTGTGCAAGACTGTAGCAAACGTTTTGATAAAATTAACACGAGTGTAATTTCCATAGCCTAGTTCGTCACCTTTCAAATAGGGACTTTTAGATTGAGTGGACGAGAACACGACGAACGCCGACTGATCATGCGTGTCAACGTACTTAACCGCCCATGTTGACTACAATTAGAAATCTTTTAGATTGCACTCGACGATATACATGCATGCTTAAGTAACACTATGAACATCACGGACAAAGAAAGAGGACAAAATATACAGTTCCTCATTCTACCCTCAACAAAAGAACATCCCTTCACTGCTGTTATGTAAAAATGTGTAGAACAGGTGAATATGCATGTGACACCTGTTCTACACATTGTTACATAATAGCAGGGATGTTCCTTTGTCTACTTGAGGAACTGTATATTTTATGCGCACGCGGCATAATAGTACCTTGAACATGTAAAGGCGCTATATAAATACCAATATGTTTGTGTATGTAATAGATTTAGGAAAATCAAGGTTGACGCATTCTCGATCGCCGACTGAGACGACGTAACGCATGCGCGGTGCCTTAAAATGACGTCACACGTTGCAGTCAAAGCTGTCGACGTGCAAATCTAAAAGTTCCTATTTACGGACATTACAACGACGTAGTATTAAATAATCCTAACATGTGTTACATAATCTGAACATGATTACTTAAGGCAATTAGGGTGTTCAGACTTGATTTCTTAAAAGTCTTTGCGATCATAATTCTATTGAAATTTGAATGATTGATGCTTTTCATCTGCAAGTTTTGCTTCTGCGAATGATAAGGACAATAACGATAATGGCGACTTAATTTATCTACGGCGCCCATGTACATTATTATTTCTATGGGCACATTCGACTGGCCAAACATTAAGCGCACTGGCATATCGAGTACGCGCTTACACTTGCGTGGAAAGAGGCCAATGTGAATTAATATCTTGCCAAAGGACGTAGCGCCGAGCTGGTATTCGAACCCTCAACCTTCAATTTAGCGACACCACTATACCACGGCACCTCTACAAACTGCAATGGGCTTACCTTTGTACACATTTTTCTCTCCTTGTTTTCTTCTTATGTGGTAGATCACGGTAATATCCATCAGTTGCTGTAGTGATGTTTAACTTGCTGAATTTTACCCTCCTATAAAAATCGCTATCTTCGCCGCCCCATCCCCAGTACATGTTGGAGTAGCCGTTAATCTCATCCATTTGCACCCCAGTTAATCCCACGACGCCTCCAAAATCTTGCATGTAGGGGTTGCTATAAAGAATACGAACAAATGATAGGAAATTAATGCTACAGCATTGCAGGATCCATGATAGTAATTACCACAATACTATTGTAAAAGAGGATCATTAAACCATTTAAAATAAAACAGTTGAATTTACCCTGATACAGTGAGGGGTTACAGTATACAGTGCGTTTCAAGAAAAAGGATCACACTTTGAAAATATCCCTTTTAATTGTTATTTAATGAAAAAACAATAATGATGATATCAAATTTTATTTATCCATTTTGGAGGCTTTTTCAGAATTGTGTATTTTTGGGGTAAACATACTGGCGAATAATCTAATCCCCCCCAACGGAGCAAAATGTCAAATTTTCAAATTTCGATACCCCCCCCCCAAAAAAAGTGTCCTCTTACCCCACCCCCCCCCGCTTATTCAGCGGCTGGCTGAGTCGTTGCGAAATTTTCGGCCGATTTATAAATGTTAAAACCCCCCCCCCCCTTGAAAAAATCCTGCGTACGCGCCTGCTGTAGTGTCATACAAAAGCCGTTGGGAAAACGGTTTTTGAAATTTCGAATTTCAATCATGAATATCTTGATGATTGCAGAATGAGCTAAATCCGGGATTTTGTTTAGAATCAGAGGCAAAGTTACCTAATACCTTTAATTTTTGTGAAAGACTGTTTATAATAACGGTTCACAAAATCAACGTAACACTGAACCTATAAACAAATAGCAGTTCTTGGTGTTCGGAATTATTTCTCTCCATATTTGACAAAAGGAACTACATCATCTTAATCCGTTCGAAATTAATGTTACTTCATTTCTATAAATCCTTACTCATATTTGAATTCTTCAAGCTTGGTGGCATAATGTTTGGGGTAGTCATCACAACCGTAGTAGTTCGTCGAATTAATGGGAACATAGTCGACGTCATGAAACACGTAGCAGTCCCAGAGCGTTCCACTCAACTTCGCCATCTGATAGCCTACATTCTTCATTAGACCTCGGTTCATTACTTCAGTGGAACCCTGAATATTCATGATGGTAAAAAGAAATAGCGATCATTAAACGTCATGGCAGTAACGATACACTCTCAAAGGTTATGTCAAAAGAAAAAAATTGCGCGTTAGTTTGGTAACATTTTTACCCTATATTGGGTACATTTTTTCCACTTTGGGGTACATTTCACTCCATATGAAGTTGAATTTGTCCAACAAACGTTTTTATCCAATGTTGAGGAAGATTTTACCAAACCTAGTTAATACACTAATAATTGTGGTTTGCATGACGGGAGATTTTGGTGATGGTATTAGCGGATTTTGATGTTGAAGTTACCGAACTAAACACAATTTAATACTCGACTCTGGAGTCAACAAAATTTTGTACTGCTGGATACAACCAATTATCTTTAGAGCCATAATCTTATAGTTTGGAGATGCCGTCACTTATCAGCCCCCTTTTACGTCGATTTAACACTTGTGCTGATAGACAAAAAAGAAAGTCCATTTAATCAGCTTACGTGATTCAGATATCTGAGTATCTTGTACAGTTATGACACTTATGAGAACAATTTTTTTATCATTTGAATAATTTATCTTTGAATGTACAGTTATGACACCTATGAAAATGATTTTTACATTTGAATAATTTATCTTTAGATGTACCTGTTCCGCGATAAAGATTCCAAACTCCAACTCTTGACTCCTTAAGAAGGGTATTAAGTTCCGCAGAAGAATATTGAGGTTATAACTCCGATCCCGGTAAGGAATGATCAATGCTACCTGTTGATTAAACCAAATCATTAAAAAGAAAATCATTACAAAGTATGATGTTATTGACACCGATGCACTTTATGGCTGAAACATGAAACGAGAAGGTTGTGTTGGCACTTCCTAATTCACGTTTAATGCATTTAGAAAAGGAATTAATATACAGAAATACGTGGTTCCCTTTTCAGGAACTAATGAGGAACGTCATGACTGAAAATTCCTAATGTGTTTAGGAAATTATTATATTATGAGCCATTCTATCACTTCCTACCACTTCCTTCCTCTTTCATATTTAGATCAACGGTTAAATAGTACAGGAAAATGTCCGAATTTGAAAAGACAGTTTCACATGAATAATGGTTAGACTCTAATTATTTCTGGTTTTTTTAATACAACAAAGATCAGCTTTCAAAATCATGATGATTTAACAAAGAGTCTGATTAGGTGTAAGTACTAGTTTTTTCCTGAATAAAAAACTATTTCTCAATGTATATTAGTGTTTCGAGTTGGGTTTGAACTTGATATACGAAATCGTTTCAAGGCGAAAATGATCATGAACAATAATAATGATAATCATAATAAAAATAAGTATGCGTTTTGAGAAGAGAATACAGAAGGAGTTGAAAGGGTGCACTGGGTTCATAATAAGATCCAATATAATATTCTTTAGATTATGTTTACTCTGTAAACTATATATATATATAGTCTGTATACTCTGTACATTTAGGGCTTATGACGCATCATAATATTTGGTAAAATAACCCATTCTTCTATCTTCAATGAAGGTTGTTTACAATCTTTTCCTCCGTACAACCGAACCTTAATATTTCACACTACCTCAATGGTAATACTATTTTCAAAGTAACGTCCGTTCAGTATTATGGGGTTTTCACAGATCAATCAAGATAGGTATAAACATTATTGGTGTTTTTCTATATCAAATTCTGGTTAACAGGACTACTACGAATGAAAATGATCAAACAAATAATATTAAACACTGTCTACATTAGCTACGTTTTGGACGACTCGTCTGACTTGATGCCATTTTTGGATTCACTAAAACGCAGATTTTCCGGTGTAACCAATCCTTTAAAGAGTACAAACCTTCCATTTGGCTCTGCAGTTCAGTGGGACCCAGTGCCCTCCAGGAAAGTACATATAAGACCCAAGCTTTATCCCCATTTCGTTTTGTACAGCCTTTCCCAGATCTGCTGCACGCTTCCGATTGTAAAAATTCTTGTTGGGGTCCATTCCGCGAACCTTCAGGATCTGTTTCAATTGCTCATCGGCTTGGCGCGTTAATTTTCGGGCCTTCTCTGCAAGGTTCTGAAAAACTGTCTTCTCTGTCGTTAGGAAATCGGATCCCGTGATATTGGCGATGTAGTCGGTAGCTGAGACAAGGGAATTGATAGATTAAGAGGAAAAATGATTTAAAGACACGTAATGTTTGGTAAGTGTGTCCATAACTTAAAAAACAAAAACAACCAAGATTCAGAATCGAGTTCAGACGGGGGCGCAAAAAGAACCTTAGCAGTTTCAGATAGAGTAGCCATGATGCATGTATTGAGACAAGGGAATTAGTAGATTAAGTTGGAAAATAGTGTAAAGACAAATAATATTTTGGAAGTGTATCCATAAGTTTAAAAAAAAAATGAGTCAGAGTCGAGTTCAGACCGGGACTAAAAAGAACCTTAGGCCACTTAAAAAAATAAACATGTTTAGCGTCCCCGCCCACTTCCTTTTTGGGGGCCGCCTCCTATCTATTTTTTTGATTTTTTTTTTGAATTTTTTTGAATTTTTGTTGATTTTTGTTGTTGATTTTTTTTGATTTTTTTTTAAAGATAAAAAACATGAAAAACACTGCTAAAATGGATCTATTTCTGATTAAAAAAAAAAAAAATATCGGCGGCCATCTTGATAAAATGGCCCTAATGTCAGGGAAAATGTACCGAGCGGCCATTTTGAAGGAAAAAAAAAGGGCCTCCTCCTTCCTATATTTCGAAAAAACAGGACGCTAAACATGTTTTTTTTTAAATTTGGCCTTAGCAGGAGGAGCCTTTACGGCGGCTATATCCTAAACGGGATAGGTCACTGATCTTATCATTTCTTATCAAAACATGTGATTGATTAACATTGATTGCAACTGCTGACATTAGAAACCGGGACATCCCAATAGACCGACAGACCACGAGACCAGCAATATCGGTCATGGGAACCCTTAGAACAGTTATTGGAAGGCCTTGTTGGCTGTTGGTCTCGCTGGGTTGTAGCCCGTGTAACTCTGCGATTCATTGTAGGTCATGCAATTATTTCGGACCAATAATGGCCCATAATTCGCATCTTTGTAAAAAAGAAAGACAGACAGAGAGAGAGAGAGAGAGAGACAGAGAGGGGGGCTATATATATACAGACACACACAAACACACACACACGCACGCACACACGCACACACGCACGCACGCACACACACGCACACACACCCACGCACACACACACACACATTCAGATGAAACAACGGATAGGTATAGAGAGAGAGAGAGAGAGAATAATAAAGACACAGATAAAGATAAAGAGAGACAGGAGTAGAGATATACACACAGAGAAGCAGAAAAATACTAGGTTACGTTTTCTATTCTTACCACTTGAACTTTCGTTGGTTAGGAACGTGCACTGTTTACTTTCTGATGAATAGAAGAGGTAAAAAGATGAATAGAACAGGATTATAATGCGTTATATTCTTTGATTCCCGTTTGCCTATAATAAAAGCAGCCATATTCTTCCTTTTACACAATATATACCTTTCACTCTCTCCTGAACATTATACTCTTTCGAAAAGAGACCCAAAACCTTACAAGACTGGCATTCAAGGTTTTCTGCGTAATTATGTGGATCAATGTCTTTCCGAAAGACGTTAGTGCCGGGCTTCGATTCGAACCCTCAACCCTTGAACTAAGAATCAAGTGAATGAACCCCTATACCACGACACCTCTACAAGTGTAGAGATTCTCTTGATTATTCTGGACTGCACCGTGATATTTAGGAAAGCTGCGAAGAACCATTTAGTACAAATTAAAGTTGGGTTGTAAATTCTGGACAAGGCCTGGAGCCAATGATGGTTCTAATCTGCAACATTTTTGCTAAAAAGTAGTACGTACTTTTTTCTTCTTCTGTGTTCTAATTTTTTTTAAACAAATAGAGATAGTAATATTACTGTGAGGAACACTTCCTCTTGAGTTCTAGGACGAGTAGTTTCACAGGGAAATATTAATTTTATTTTCAGATAGGAACTGAAAGTTGTTGGGATGATTCCTGGCTATTTATGGACATGATGGAATCTTGTGACTCGTATCATGAGCTGAATTGACCCTTGGACAGCGCTCTTTCTTTTCTACATGTCTCATTGATTTTAAACCATAACTTCTCATTAACCTTTAAAGCCCCACTGCACTAGTTTTGCCAGGAGGGATTAGACCTCCCAGCATGGTCACTGACAGATGGTTATCTCATCAAATCAGCTCTCAATTAACATAAGATAAAGGGGATCATGGGGGACCAATAGTCACCGATTAGGCATTCTTTGCTATATATACAGGGCGCAAGTAGCTACAAGTAGTGCAGTGGGGATTTAAACCACACAATTTTTATTAATTCTTCAACGGTTACCTTACGTTCTCATTGATATTTAAACAATAATCCCGAGACATGACTTAAATTTGAAAGATGAAGGGCGGTGTAGATACAATTTCCTCGAGGACAACACAAATTGTGTAGGCTTAAAGCATTATTGTTTCTATGTTACTGAGATTAGGATATTAACTGTCCTGTACAAGTGCACTGTCAGTTTGATTTGCGTATACTTTGTATGGGTATACTTGATGTGTGGTCAAACTACACGTTTATGTGTTTTGAGAACTGAAACAAAAGAAGCAGATAATAATGATCTTCTGGATAATAACCGACCTGGACACGAGTGTGTCGGTCCTTACTTTGAATAAACTTTGTCTCATTTAACTTCAAGTGTGTTAATATCAGGTTTTAATATGTTTTGATAAATGAAACAAGTGAATTAGATCGTGAAACTGATATTATGAAACTAGAATCTCGAGGACGCTGTACGTTGATATCGATGGATTCACAATTATATGGCAATCAGTCAAAGTTGACTAAGATCACCAATATTTCATTTTCTTTTTTAGTACGAAATTTTATTATACAAAATTAATTCACCTTTTTCTTTCATCATATTTTCCTTTTGGGTGTCCCTGTATTTTTGTCAGCGTTTTTATTGATGTTTGTATGGTATCAATCCAGGTTACCAAATCCTGTCCTTTCTTTTTCGGCATCATCCTGACAAACCTACCCGTATAATATCGAATCACTATATGTCGCTTTGGGATACTTTTATCTGATAATCAAAGGAAAAGATCTTGGGTGTGAAATAAAAGTAGACCCTCTCCGAGAAAATTAGTTGCACTGGTTGCATTGTCTTACAGGATGTTGTTGTCGTTTGGGCTTAAAGGCATTTCAGTCATGAATGAGTATTTATTCAGGAGACCCGGGCCCCGTCTTTGATTTGAATCAATCGCAACTCTTTATAAGACTAATAAGTAATACATACCATGATTGGATATAATGTACATGTCTCTTATATGTAGAAGAGAATGGAGGTTTGGGATGACGTTCTGTGGGAGAGCTCGTTCTTCCTTCAGTCGACGTTGCTCTGACTCTGCAAGTAAGAAAATTAAAATGTAGTTACACAAAATAATAAAATAATAATGATGAAGATGGTAGTGGTGGTGACGGGGTTAATGATAATGATGATGATGATAAGGAGAATGATTGGAATAAAAATAAAAAATAAAAATAGTTTCATTATTCATTATCAATAATTCTCTCAATAGTGCCTGACAGTAACCTCAAAAGCAGAAATTGAAGTCGACTTCGAGGTCTGCAAGTTCGAAGCACAGTGCACAGGTCCATGTACACGGTACACGCCAACATGCAGGGCTTTCAAAAAGCCCGTCAAATACTACCCCTCGGAGCCCGCCACGGAGCCCCGGCCAGCGCAACCGGCACCCTGCCGAAGGTCCCAGAGGCAGCCGTCGTTTCACCTGCTGACCATGAAGAAGTAGTTACTCCAGCCTCACCATCCCCAGATGCAGGGCTTCAACAGACGGAAGAAACAGATATTCGTCTTCGACGAGAAAATGTGGCGGAGTACTTCGAAAAAGCAACGCAGAACTTCGAAGCGATGATCCGTTCGACGATGGATACATTCCTGTCCAAGTTGCATGATGTTGAAGCCAACATGGCCACCTCCATTGAGTTCGAACGCGAAGGTATCAACGATCTCCAAGATAATCAGGATCGCATGGAGAAGAAAATTCCCGACATGGAGAATGAGATAACCCATCTGAAGTCGTAGGTAGAAATCCACACCATTGCAGCAAATAAAAATGAAAGGTTCTCACGTAGAAATAACGTGAGATTGATTGGAATTCCCGAACCACAGGAAGGCCAGCGTGAGGATTGCATCCAGATCACCGAAGACATCCTCAAAACCAAGTTTGGAATCCAGAGCAAAGTTGAAAGAGCCCACCGAGATGGAAGAAAGAACGATCAAGGAAAATCACGTCACATCCTTATCAAATTCCTCTCGTACAGAGATAAGGTCGAAGTGATGCGCAACACCAGAAATATTCTCACAGGTGAACGTTATTTCATCACCGATGATCTAACACCACTTGACCTGAAAGAAAAACAGAAATGGGTAAAGCAAGCTCAAGAGCTGTACCAATCTGGGGTCAAGCTCAGATTTTATGCTGGAAAATGGCGACAGCTCGGTGGTACTCTATACAAATTTGACTGAGTTAATTTTGACAACGGTTAATGCATGATAAACAAACAAAAAAACACAAACACGATACAGTAACTTTTCGATTGTTTAATATGTTTATCTTGCATAAGGCCAAACTATTCACCACAACATTCATGGTTCAATATTTGATTGATGATGAACTTTTTTCGGTATACTCTTGTGGTCTAAACTTTAAATAATTACATTTATTGTATTTTATATGAAAAATATTAACTACATCCGAAACAACATTTACTTTATTAGCACATAATTATTATGACTGTATGTATGTGTATTAGAAATCTTTTGTTTTGTTACTCTCTATACGTCCAATAATGAAATATGATATTTGAAAAGTCTACTGGTAACCATTGTGGTAACCATGTGAGCATTTTGTTTGAATTCTGACGTATCTATTGATGACAACATGTGTTCATATTTTATTTTGGTACTGTATTTGAATTGAATAGATGCTCGACACAAGTCCTCATATAGTTATGATAAAAAATAAAATTATAACAAGTGTTGATTTGTAATATGGACCTATCAATGATATGCTCTATATGTATGTGTGTCGCAATGTCACTATGGTGTGAATATAATTAGTAATTATATAATTACATACAAAGTTAATGACAATTTGAAATGAAAGTGTATTTAATGACACATTTGATGTGGAGCCATCATGGAACTGGTCGATAAAATTGGTCGACTATTGATATCATATTTATAAAATGATGGATAAGCCGTGATAACGATTAGCTTTATAAAACAAGGCTAACGTGATAGATTTTGATATCATGCATATCACTTTTTGTCACGTTACTGAATATATTATTGGTTTGCATTTGTATTTGCACACTGATTATAATGTACCGGTGTGTTTGATTTTAAACACATGAATGTTTATATTATATTATATAATTTACCATTTTATGCGTATGGTATACACTCATTATGTCCATACACATATACTTGTTAAGTGTATAAGTCTGATTGTCAATAAACATGATTTTTAGTATTCATGAAATATTTGATGAATCGAACCACACACACTGTAATATAAATATTATTTTACACTTGTAGGGTTATCGGAATCACTGAAAATGCACATAAATGGAATTGTTGACGTAATTTTGTGCTAATGCACATGACCAATTTCTTGTAATTTTGTTTGAACTTAGACACACGACTTACCTGTTAATGAATTCAACTAGCTTTATTGTTGTAAACACGGCTCACTGGTCATTTCTTCTTGTCCATGTCTGTAAAGTTATCGTTGTTTTTTTTATTGTCCCAGACACGGACGTACGGACTGCAAGCATGAAGACGATTAAACTGTAGAATTGCATTATATTACACTGCGACAGCTGTTGGTATTGATGAACCCTCAATGTTAGAGACTGCATGGGTAGACACAATGGGGTTCGTCTTCGTGCTTGCAAAACCGTGCGCATACATTCTACCTCTTTATTTTTACGCTACCTTGATTATATGCCTTTTACCCTGCTTTCATAAAACTCTTGTGATATTCAGTTATGTGTAATATCACTCCATGATGTATTCAAATTCAAATTATATGACTTGTGTTTGAACAACTGTACACATTTATATTATTCATCTTGTTGTAATTTGTATTGAACTTAGTTACTGGCGTTCATGTACTTACTTATACGAACTATGATAACATAATTTGTGTGGGTGGGTGCATGAATGCTTGTTATTGTCAACACGGTTCACTGATTTTGTTTGTGTTTTATACCTACACTGTACACATTATGTATGCATGCATGCATGCAAGGCACACGTTGGGTTGCACACATGATATAACCGTTCAAGTCCAATATATTCCAAGGCCATTGCTCCATTACCTCTTTTGGAGACCTGATAGGAACGATCCTGATGATCTTCATGTGTGCAACCCGACGCGTTTAGAGTTTTTGTTTGTTTTTTTGTTTGTTTTTCTACTTTTTTTTCTTTTATTGTTGCTGTTATTTCAATATTTTCGATGCTACTCTTTACATTTAATTTTGACAATGCTTTTGAAAAAGTTACAATAAGTTTAAATGTAAATTACTATCATAGTATTATTATATATATATATATATATATATATATATATATATATATATATATGTTTAAATATATATATATACTTGGTTATTGCAAAAAAACAATATTACGATTATGTAAATCGCGTAAATCACGTGAATTTATTGTTTATATAGACTTGAAAAAAAAGATGTTTGTTTTGTTTAAAAAATATATATCTTCTTAGTAACACGCATTTTGTTTTTAAATAATTGTAGTGAGGTTCAAACCCGCTCATTGACTCGATCGCTCACCCATGTAAATCACTTTATGATGTAAAACTATAAGCCATATGCTCGTATTGTTCAGTTAATATAATATTTTGTCCTTAATTGTTTACTTTTGGATAAAATGCAAGAGACTTGTAAGATTTGTTTTGTTTATTTTGGCGCTAAATATGTTGAAGAATTTATTCTTTCCTTTTTCTCTTCCCCTTCACTATTCTTCTTTCTATTGCACTCTACTAACTTGCACTCCGCGCAAAAGCCTCTCTCTTTCAAACATCATATTAGGTTCACATTTAAATGAATTATCATGATTTGTTATATGACCAGTCTCTAATTGAACACGATAGTGACTATTTTACTATTGATGAATTTATTGCGAAAATTAAGATTACACTAAACCAATTTAATCATGAATTGAATAAAGGTAGTAATAATGATATTGATAATTTCAGTTTAATTCACTTTAATGCTCGTAGTTTGAATAGAAGTTATGATGATTTAAACACACTTTTTTCTGTAATTCCTGAGTTTAATTTTTCTGTAATAGGTGTCACTGAAACGTGGCTTAACGCAAACTCCCCTCCTGTATTTAATCTTGATAATTATACTATGGTCCGTGCTGACCGCAAAGAAGGTAGAGGTGGCGGTCTAGCTATTTATTTACGTAATCAGTTAAATATTCGAATACGACATGATATTCATATAGAAGGTGCAAAGGACATTTTTGTTGAAATTATAAATGATTTTGGTAAAAATATTTTAATAGGTGTAGCTTATAGACCTCCTAATAATCAGATAGAGATATTTTTAGATAATTTAGATGAATCTCTTCATACAATTATTGGTGAAAATAAAGATGTTTATTTAATGGGAGATTATAACATAAACATTTTACCTCCTCTTCAAAATAATAGTTTGAAATTAAATAACATTCTATTATCTTACTCGTTGCATCCTCATATTGATAAACCCACACGGATTTCGAAAACATCATCAACCTTAATTAATAATATATTCTCAAATAATGTTAATAAAAAATGTTTAAATGGTATTTTGTATTATGATATATCTGACCACTTGCCTATTTTTAGTATTATTAAGCAGACAATTAATGTTCATAGATTATTGAACAATACACTAAAAATGCATAAAAAAGAAAATTCTTCTAATATTGATTCTTTAAATATTGATTTATGTCAAGAGCAATGGCTCGATGTATTTGAGGAAAATGATGTTGATAAGGCTTACGAAAAATTTAATCATAAGCTACAAAAGTATTATGATAAAAATATTCCACTTGTTCGAACAAAATATAAGAAAGTTAAAAATCCATGGATCACTAAAGGAATTTTAAAGTCGATAAAAACTACAAATAAACTTTATAAGAAAAGTCTTAAAAAGGTGAGTGATGAGAATTGTAGGAAGTATAAAATTTATAGAAATAAATTAACTTCAATAATTCGACTTTCACGTAAATTACATTATTCAAATAAAATAGACATGAATAAGACAAGTAATGCTTCAATATGGCAAATTGTTAAAGATATGATTGGTTCTAAAAATAATACTCCTAAATCATTTTTTAAAGATGGTCAGGAAATAAATAATCCAGTAAAAATTGCAATATGTTTAATTCATATTTTAATGATATAGGTCCAAATTTAGCATCAGAATTTAATATTGATCAAAATAGCTATGAACAATATTTGGATGAACCATTTTATAAATCTTTATTTTTACGACCAACATCCTCTCACGAAACTATTAAAGTTGTACAGTCTTTAAAATCCACTAAATCTACTGGTTATGATGGGATAAGTGTGAATCTTTTGAAAAATAATATTTATAATATAATCCAATAACATATATTTTTAATTTATCGATCACACTTGGTGTTTGTCCAAATATATTGAAAATTTCTAAAATATTCCCAATATATAAAAAAGATGATTCTTCATTAGTAAATAATTATCGTCCTATTTTCCTTTTACCGGCTATCTCAAAAATTCTTGAAAAAATTATTTATGAACGACTTTATGATTTTTTAAATAGTAATGCTTTACTTGTTCCTATTCAGTTTAGTTTTAGAAAGCATCATTCGACAGATCATGCAATTATTCAACTTTATGATAAAATTATTACATCATTGGCTAATAAGGAACACAGTGTAGGCATTTTTATGGACCTGAGTAAGGCCTTTGATACTATTGATCATAAAATATTGATTGATAAATTACACTTTTATGGAGTAAGGGGTATTGCTTTATCATGGTTTAAAAATTATTTGTTAAATAGAGAACAGTATGTATACTTTCAATCTAAAGAGTCGAGTAGATTACCTATAACCTGTGGCGTCCCTCAGGGATCGATTCTAGGTCCTTTATTATTTTTGATATACGTCAATGATATTGTAAAATCATCTAAACTTTTCACATTTATATTGTATGCAGACGACACTAATGTATTTTATTCTCATACAAATTTAGACACACTTACGTCAATCTTAAATGTTGAATTATCTAAAATATATGTTTGGTTTAAGTCTAATAAGTTATCTTTAAATGTTTGGTTTAAGTCTAATAAGTTATCTTTAAATTTTACTAAAACAAACTCTATATACTTTAGAAATGTTCATTCACCAAAAATAAATTGTAGATTATATATTAATGATATTTTGCTTTTAGAAAAAAATTCTGTCAAATTTTTGGGGATAATCATTGATTCTAATTTAACTTGGTCCAATCATACACATAATATATTGAACACTGTTTCTAGGAACATTGGAATATTATATAAATTGAAATTATTACTAACTCCCAAATCTCTTTTTATGATTTATAATGCTTTTGTACTTTCGCATATTAATTATTGTAATATCGTATGGGGAAACTGTTGTAAAACTAAAATTAATTCACTTGAACTTTTACAAAAGAAAGCCTTACGAATTTGTACACAATCTGATTATTTAGCACACACTACACCTATTTTTAAAACATTGAAAACTCTCAAAGTAACTGATATGCACATTTTTCAAACAGCTATTTTTATGTATAAATATGTCTCCAACTTACTTCCTAAGTCCTTTCATGATTTTTATATTCATAATGTTAATGTACATTCGTACCCCACGAGGCACTCTATGGATTTTCATTTAACTAACCCCAAAATTGTTTTGGCACAAAAATCAATAAGACACAATGGACCCGATGTGTGGAACTCCTTGCTTATAACATTAAAATTATGTACAACACTTGTTTCCTTTAAAATGAAGATGAAAGAATATGTATTGATAAGGTATGAAAAATTAGATTCTGGTCATAATATACTACATGTACTTTGTTTTAATATAAATATTCATTGTTTATTTGTATATAAAAAGGAAATTATTTGATAGATTGAGGAGCTCGCGCAGTGCACTCTTCACTTTGCACAGCACTCTCTTCACCCGCTCTTTCTTCCTGTCTCCTCTCCTCCTTTTGTAAGGCCGGTATCATTTCAAGCTCTGCTTACGATATCGGTCTTCTGCATTCTCCCCCTTTTCTTTCTTTTCAAATACGATTAATTGTACTATTGATTATTTATATTTATTTATTTGTGAATTACTACTTGTATTACTTATCATTATATTGCTGAAATATATTCATTGCTATTTTTGTTATTGTTTATGGAAAATGCAGAAATAAAACTTGAAACTGAAAACTGAACTGAAAGTCTAGAAAGTAAACGGGTTTTCTTGCATAATTTGAATATTAGGACATATTCGATAGCCGGATTGTGTCTCGTCCAACTGTTACCAATCATATATGAATGCTCCCAAGGGGCACCTCTGACCCAATTTTTGTTGCGCGTTTCTTTGATAGGAACAGCCATACGTCATCATGTTCATAGCTCATCAACGCACATTATATAACGACGATGACGATTAAGAGATTAAACTAGATCGATTCGAATCAGATCAAATAAATAAAAATCATATACTTACCGTTTGATACTGAGCGTGTTTCTTCGATGGGAACATGTGTCATGTCATCATAGTCATAGCTCATCATCGAGTAGTACAAAGCGACGATTACAAGAAGGAAGACGAATAGCTTCTTATATTTGCTGATCATCTTTATAGGTAACCCTATATTCATAATCCTCTATTGTAGCTATTGTATCAGCAAAGAAGGAGAGAGTCCTGCAAGATATTGATAACCAAAATAAAGCGAGAGCTTAGTTTTCAAAATGAAGAGTGAACGGGTTCAGGAAGATGAAGGGCGGGAACGGGTCCAGGGAGAATAGTAAATGAGGTAGAAAAGTTCAAAAAGAGTTTCACTTCGTTTTGACATCCTTCTCATCGAGGTAAATAATCTGTTTTTTTTCAGGCCAGATTGACAATAATGGAAATAACTGGACGATAATCATGCTTACACCCCCCCCCAAAGACAAATAAATAGATAAATAATAAAATAAATGATTAGGTGAAATAGTACCAATGAATACAGAATATAAAACAAAAAAAAACAACAATCGCTATGCAAAAATGTGCATTGGAATTTAATGCGATACGTATGAACAAGATAAAAAGTCCCCCCCCCCCCAGTGTTTGCCGCAAGAAGCCGGAACGGTTTAATATGCGCCCGAATATATAAACACCAAACCCTTTTTTTTTTATCTGGAAAAATTCTTTCGATTATAACAGTACACTGCTACCATGATACAAAATAATAAAATGGCGCACATTGACTTTGTTGGGGTTCCTCTTTTTACTATCAAATGTGACTTCTTCAAATATTAAAAGTAGTCATTGTAATTCCAAAGTATCGTCTTAAGCTTACACAGAGCGTCACATTGCATGCTAAATTGAATATCTTCTGACAACTGTGAATGCATTTGTAACTAACTCACAGTGACATACTTGAATACAAGAGTTTTGTTTGGACTTGGAAATGTACTTAACTTTAATAAGGTCGTCGAAAGAGAATAGAACAAGTAATTAATGACGGTGTCCTTGAGTGTTGAGTCTGTTTTTTTTAGTTTCGCTTTCTGTTATTTTTTTCAGTGTTAGCAGCATGGTTGTAGCCAGGGGCGGCGATTTCTTTGCAGGACCGAGGGGGGGGGGGGGGGCGACGAAATGCGATGGACGACATATAGTGTAAACTGTGCTGACGAGATACCAACGGAATACAGATTTTCTACAGTATTTGCTTATACATTTTGAAGGATATTATGTGAGGGAGCGTAGCGGCCGAGCGAGAAGATTTTCACATTTTTATTAGTCTAAACGCTGCACTCTTGGGCCCTCCAGTGCCTAAAAGTGTGTTGCAGGCTTTAGTCCGTATTTGATATACATTTATTTTTTGCACTTTTTCAAATTTTCCGGGGGGGGGGGGGGGGTGGGATCCCCCCTAAAAAAAAAAATCGAGGGGGGGGGGGACGCGTCCCTACGTCGCCCGGGATCGCCGCCTCTGGTTGTAGCCTGTGGCTTATCATAAATGTGATAAATATGAAATATTTCCGGGTTGTCTAATTAACGGCATAAATCACGTAAATTTATGTGTAGACCCAACCAAATAAAGCGGTATTTTGTGAAAAAGTAAAATGATTTTCACTTTAAGTGACCCTGGTAATAAGTGAAAAGAAAATAATCAACGTCATAGCAAACAAGTTTGTTTGTTCTTCACCCAATAATATATATAGGTATCTTTTTAACTTCGGATATGCCGAAAAGAAGAGTGTATTAAAGCAAAATGTAAAAGTCACACAATTTTCTCTCCATTTTTGTTCCATTTTAGTTTTAGTTTGTTTTTAATATTTTATACAGGCGTATGCGACACAAGCTTATACTTAATTTGATTGATGTATTCATCCTTTTATTACCATACTCTTGACAATATGTATATGTTAGTCTGTATAAATTAAGTTATATAGGCCTACGCATTTTACAAAATATAAACATCTTTTCTGAAGAAATGTATTAAAAATCTACAATTTTTTTCAGGAATCATAGATTTTGTGATAAAAATTTAAAATAGTGAATTTTAATTTTTTTTTTCTTCTTCAACTTTCCCTACACAATCCTCCTAGCGAAGTCTCCTATGCATGCTACATGTGAAATCGAACTTTGTAACTACGTCAGAGATTTCCAACTGTCTGCTATACCGTATAAGAACAGACTTAACAAATATTTCTCATCACATAATTTGTTAATGTTTTCTTATCTTGTTAGACAGGAAACTACGACTGAAATTAAATTGCGCTACATGATTGTGACTCTAAGATAATTAAAACATGTGGCTACTTCCTTATTTAATAATCTACGTTTTGTTTAAACATGTACATGACATTATTTCGTCAGGTTTTTAAAGCGTTTTGAAAACCCATTTGGAGTTTACAGTATGCAACAAATTAAAGAATTATCTTAAAGTTGGAAAATTACTTTAAAGAAGAGGAAGTATGTGGTGATGGCATAACATCAATTGTCAAAAATTTATTGCATTTTCCCCCGACCCCCAACAGGAAAAATTCCTCTGTGTGGCCATGCCTTGAACCATAATGCATGGCCCTACAGAGGAATTTTTTCTGTTGGGGGCCGGGGGAAAATGCAATGAATTTTTGACAATTTATTGCATTTTCGTCTTTTTGGGGGATTTGTGGAAGGGGCTGCGTACCCTAGCTAACACTGCAGTCATGATTCAGGGGCTAAGCAATGGCCTTGTTACGGTGATGCCCCAGGATAAAAATCGTGTCGATCAGCTATATATTAGTGCCCTTTTGTGAGACATTAATCCTCATTACTGTCAATTATGACTTAAGGACGTAGGTCCCATAGCTGATAAGCATAGTAGCACACATATGATTAAGCAGTCACGCAAAACAAACACTCTCGAATAAATATTCAATAAAATCTGAAAATGTATGCCATTATCTAGATCTATTAGAAATAAATAATTTTTTTAAATCCTTCCCTAAAGTGGGGTAAAAATAAATATTCCACCATTATGACCAACAGTGTACATAATGAGGCAGGGAAGATCTCGAATTTGCAAAAGAAGGGACAGGAGAGGACGATCCGCAAAATTCACAAGAAAATACCTTTATGCATTTATTGTGTGTGTGTGTGTGTGTGTGTGCGTGCGCGTGTGTGTGTGTATTTAAAGTGCGCCAACTTTTATTTAAAAGGCGGCGCGGGACGGATGTGTCCCATTAAAACCGCCACTCGAGTAGGAACTATAAATATCTTGTTCTTGGCATAATCATGTCTAACCAGTCTAAATTTCCTGCTTATTTTCCCAGATCAATATATACCACGCTTCATCTTAAACCTCATATTCAAAACATGAATTTTCAATTTTGAAATCTAGTTTATCAGCAAGAAACTTAACAAACAAAAACTTGGTAATGAAGAAAACTTACCATTAATGTCATGAATAATGACTTGATTCTCATTATTTTCTAAAACTTTTTGTTAATGTTATATCTGTTGTCAGGGTTATTCAATTGTCGTTACTTTCCTAAATTGGAGATTTATTAATTTGTAACTTGGATGACATGTTCGTGATTATTTATGTATAATTCATGTCGTGCCAAGGATGCCTCTTTCAGGCAGAATTGTGGGGCCTATTAGTATAGAATTATTATTATTGTTGTTATTATTACTAAAATTGCTATTATTATTGGTACTAAAACTATTTTATTATCTTTTTGTGTGTGAGCTTTGCTGTAACATTACTTTTCTTTCCAATGTTCTAGACCACTCGAGCACAAATGGGCCCTTTTCAAGGCTAACTAAGTAACCCTGTTGCAGAAAGAATACGTGGTGTAACCACAAACCTTGCTCAAATCTATCATCACCATGGAAGCCTTTTAAGATTATATTTTTCATCATTGTTATTCATATCGTTATTGTAATTACTATCATCATCTTAATCTTATTATCATCGTGTCTTTTATTGATGTTATTATTATACATCATCATCATCATCAGCACCAGCAATGATTACTATTACTTTCATTTTGCATTGACGGAAAATCGATTTTCTTACCATACATGATGCCTGATGAATATCATTGTAAACCAAAAATGTATGGCCTATCACCCCACTTGCTACCCCCTTTTTGCCCTTAGTTTTTTGTTGCTCGTCAGAAAATTTGGGAGTCAAATAATGTGTCGACTCCACGCTTTAAGAGTGATCGGTGTCTGTCCATGCTTGTAAACAATACAAATGATTGAACAAGAATGCATTCATGCATTAATTAAAATTAGATTAAATGTTTGGATAATGACATACGGTAATTCATATAATATATCTTGTGTCGATTAGTCCCGTGATTAGTTAACTGCTTGTGTATTGCGTTTATGACGGGAAATGATATATAAGTAAATCTGATAGTAATAATTATAACGGAAACAGGTACAGTTTGACTAGTCAGAAATTCATTATCTGATTGTTGCTATAATTCATCTTATGTACCGGCCTATTAATATCAGAAGGTTGAGGATGAAATGGTTTCAAAATATATTGTATTGTGATGATGACCCCATCAAAAGTCTCATCCTTTCATGGAATTTTGCCTCCTTTCTACATGTATGTAAATGTAAATGTTGTATATAAGATGGCAACTAGTGGCTTTTGAATCCGAATCTTTTCTACATAAAATAGGGTATGTGTAGCCCTCACTTTCCCTTTCTGCCCTAAAAATCGTTGATTATTTATTGTTCATGGTTCACAACTTGTTTTGCTCCGATTATGTCTTCTGTTTAATGTATTTTTTTCCTGTAATGCGGCTGACCTAGATGTAAGCCACCGTACTATATTGGTTCTCTATTTACACCAATCCACAGAGATTATTTACCACATTTTATCATGTTTCCATTTTGTTAGTACAATGATTTGCCCTATAACGATTTAAAAAAAAAAAAAATCTTTGTGAAGCACTGTTATTTAGGAAGTCGAAAAGAATAGGTGAAATGTTAATTATCATATTTATTAATGAAATATTGAATCACCTCTCATAATAGAATAATCAAATATAACGATGAACAAATTAACACTTGCTTTACACCATGCATCAAACACTAGATAGGCACGGATTGTACTTGACGTATATATGGATTATAATTAAATAAATTTCTCTGCAATGCGAATACAAATGATCAATACAATTTCGTCTCTTCGTAAGTGATTACACATACACACTGATTACAAATTCATGACCATATGTCATTGGGACTTTGGTCGCGGTTTTATTGAAATCGATTATGCAAATTGCCGATTGAATAAAAAAGGAAAAGAGAAATTGCTAGACTGAGTGGGTTCTGGTGTTAGTCTAAAGAATATTTCGCCGATTCGTCCACCGCGGTAAAGAGAGCATCCTTGAATCAAGATATACAATACACATACAATACACCTACCCACACATTTGCACAAGTAACTGCCCTACCAGACAGACGCACGTGTGCACACACAATTTGATATGTTTTTGTTTTTAAAGCATATAATTATCTTTTGACCATGAATATGACACCCTTTTCCTCCCCTCCCACTGGTTGTTTTTATGTAGCATAGTTTAACACGGATGTGCCTTAGAAATCAATTTAATGTACAAATATTACAGAGAGCAGATAAATAATTAGTAAATGACTAATTATAAAAACTAATTATAAAAACACGAGAGTGTACGAAAAACTTAACTAAGAAAATATACATAATGAGAAATAAACACAGCGAAAACAAAATGTATTTGATATTTCATACAAATAATGCAACTAGGACAAATTGATTTCCTGAAGTGCAGGAAATGGAATATGCTATCGTGTACCCTTCTAATATTCAGTTACAATGGGAAAAGGGGCCAATGTTGTTCCCAGCCATTTACCGGATTCAACAATACGTGTATGCATTCTTGTGCCCACCAGTATATATTTTGTCCCCTTTTAATTCTTTGAACTATATTCAATTCAATTCCGATGGATTCAATCAAACATGACTGGTAGTCACACACTGAATTGTACTTATGGTTTACAGTGCAGCACTGTAAAATATAATATATATACAAATTGCAACAATAAGAGAATATGCACAACGGAATGTAAGAGATACAGAAATTAGATTACATTTATAAAATTGTACTTGTAAAGCATATACATGACTGTTGTTAAAAGCATTATCATTGCATACAATTACTTCACTGTTCTGAATGAAAACAAAATATTGCACGATAAAAGGTCAAGGAAAGGGAACGTGTTTCTGTGTGTTTCCCTTGGGCGGTCGCCAAAGACAGGTTTGACTGTATACATATATATATATATACATATATATATATATATATATATATATATATATATACTAGTGTGAGTCAGCATAATTCAACATAAGTCTACTCCCGTTTCTCACATCAAATCTTCTGTCTGTCTTGTTTAGTTTTTGTCTGTGTTTCAGTCCTGTTGCTCGTAGTATATTCCTGTTCCTGTTGTTTATAGCCATTATTTAGTAGTCAGTAGATTTTATTGTACTTATTTATGTTTAATGTTTTCTAAGTTGTTTAGTTAGTTTAGTTTTGTAAGCATTTAAATGTACGCATTATTTTTTTGTTTGATGAGTTTTGTTCTTTTAGGACATACTCTTAAACTACTCATGAGGGACCTTAAATCCACAAGCCTTGCTTTCAACCAAGGTCACCTCATCTTTCTATTGTGACGCCATATTCTGTTCACTCCTTTATATTCATGTCATATTTATAATGTGTGTTATGAAAGAAAGATAAATAAACTTGAAACTTGAAACTTGAAACTTGAAAAAAAAGTTTACACCTAGAAAATTACTAATTATTTTATAAATCATCTATGAAAAGTAAAATATTATGCATCTTATGAAAAAGTGTTATATCCCGAATCGTTTAGTATCATTTTGTTGATTATGTGATGTTTGAATAAAACAATTGGGATTCAGGTATTAAATCGGTGTTTGCAGATCCAAATATCATCCCTAACAAAATTAATCATGCCACACATATCAAATATCGAATAGCAGATATCACATTTGAGCGTGCTTGTATGTGTTGTGTATGACTTTGCTTCTTCAAAAAGCATGTGCAATGCATTGCATTTGATACATTCAATTCATTCTCTCACTCCACTAATCCTAACATAATACATACTGTAGACATCACTTTGGCGCAAGTCGATTTTTGCACTCTCGCAAACAATGCCTCCTGTTCATCCAAGCGTGAACACATACCACACAAAAATGATACCAAATGATTTGGGATAAAACACTCTTTCATATGATGTATAATAATTTACTGTTCATAGATGATTTTAAAAATAATTAGCAACTTTCTAGGTGTAAACTTTTTTTTGACCACACGGTATAGTGCCAGTAAATAATGTAGTATACTTTAGAATACAGTGTGCCGCTATTCATTATTGGTTGTGAGATTTTATACTTCCGGATATGGCCTTGTTCAGAACTTCTCTGGTTTCAATTTAATGTAAATGATTTCTGAATAGCTCTTTCGTAGCATTAATAATTACGACTGATCAAAATTCTGATTGCTTCAGCTTTAAATTTCGCCGAATGCAAAAGAAGACTTTGTATTCATGAGGTAAAAGAATTATGTTCCTCGATAAATGTTCATAATATCAATAGTTCACAACCATTGTATATTTGAACTTCTATCCAGGCCCTGATCCTGGATTATCAAAAAAATAGCTATTGTGAACATTAAACATTTCCCAAGAAATAATGTTTAAGGATAACCTTGACGACCATCTCAAGTTTAAAATAAAATATTGGGGGAATTTTTTAAAGGAACATAACAATCGTTAGCCATTAATATTCATGTCCCAGTGAGAGGATGTTGTCGCTTCTGTCAAACTAGTATTATTCCATGTATATTTGATAAATTTGTCACATAAATCTTGAGAAAACACAACATCTACAGGAACATACCTTACTTATTGCTTATTGCCCACTCAAATTCTTTGTCCACAACATTAAGGAGTAGAGCCTTCGATTCGGTAAAAAAGAAAAAACATGGAGTTCTTCTTTGCTTGATTACTATAGAAAAGGATCGTATGACACATATAATAAATCACTAGGGTCGACCTTCGTCAATAGCAATATGGCGCGAAAATTGTTAAAAGGGAAATTATAAAAGCAGTGCGTCTAGGGCGAGAATGGCATTATCTCATGTATTTCCCCACATACCTTATACACCTTTTTGGCTCTAAACTTCTTGATTTTGTGTAGTTTTCCCCTTTTATTTATTGCCTCTTTTGGATGGTTTTTGTTTCACATTCTCTGTCTAACCCTGCATTTCTGTATACGACCGGCCTTTCTCTCATTTTCTTTGTCCCCCTGTCTCGCCCTTTCTCTCTGACTCGCTCCCCCTCTCTCTCTTTCTCTCTCTGTTTGAAAGATAATGCGTTATGATAATATGGCTATTCCCGAGTCTCTATATTTAACCACATCTACTTGTCTGTCTAGCTCTGTCTCGATCCCTCTCGTTCACGTTTCCGTCTGACTCTCTCTCTCTCTCTCTCCCTTTCTAATATTAATGATCACTTAACAGGTTAATAGACAAACACAATTCACTGTTTGAAAGCTAATGCCATGTAATATACAATATAGCTACACATGAGGAGGAAGCCTTATGAGAGAAATAAATACAAGCTAGATCGATAATTACACCGTGTGTCTGTCTACGATTGAATGGCTAACGATATGATTAATAAGGTCAATCTTTGTGTGGGTATTTTAACGCACTTAGACTACGTTCTTGTAACTGATATGCTTTAGAGTAAAAGAGTTACCACTGTTAATACCATTGATTATTATGACTGCTATCATACCATTTTTACCACTGCTGCTGCTACTACTACTGCATTATACTACTACTACTACTACTCTTACTATATTATTAGTAGTACCACTACTACTACTACAACTGCTACCAATACTATCATTATTACTACTACTACTACTACTACTACTACTACTACTACTACTACTACTACTACTCCTTTAATCTACTAATATTACTATACTATTGCTATACTATATTTTGCCATTTGCTGCAGAAAACTATAAAACATACAAACATACGAACACATACATACACACTTTTAGTTATATAGATAGGTTGACGTTCTGCCCGGATTATACAAAAATAGATCAAGTGCACTTGATAAGGATTCGGATCTGGATATTTGACTCATAGCAAAAGGGTTTATAATTATAAATAAATAATTACTTGAAAAAGCTCTGTGATCTAAAATTCATAAGTCCCTCGATCTTAACAGAATTATACATGCTCGGGTCGCCACATGCATAGTGCTTGACTATCTCCATGCAAAAAATGACTCAAAATCTTCGTTATTTTCTTTTAATTCCACTCATTGAATTTCATTTGTCATCCATTCTTTTTCATAACAATTCTAACAATGAAAAGAATACACGTTGGCAGGATAACTAAAAACCGCCAAGCTTCTTTCTATTAGGTGAATAGGGTAAGATGATAAGAATGTCTGAATTCAAATATTAAATTGCAGAACACTAATTTTTGTTTGTCGCTACGGAATTTTAGCACTAAGAGAATTACAAACATTGACTTACCTTATGTATCATGTGTATGCTTATCCGAAAAAAAATGTCAGTTCTGCTTTATAACCGCGTGTCGTGCATTGCGATATGCCATCGGTTGATATTGAGTGTTCCCAAAACATCGAATTAAAGATAAATGCAAATGCAGCAAGCTCCCTTTGCGTGGTACGGAATCAACTTAATTTGTTGTCTGCATCATTCATCAGCGTTGGTTCACTGCCGACTCTACAGCCAATATGATTACTCCAATGTACTATGCCTCTGACAATGTTGAGCACAAAATAAGAAATGTTTCTCTTTCGAAATCATTCTTCAACGTGTATAACTAACTGTGAGTGAATGGTTATATCGGCCTGTGTGAGGAACAAACCGCTAGAATTGTGTAATGTACGCATGTATACCAGCGCCTGTTGTAATAGCCATAAATTACTGACTATACCGTGATATCTTCATTGAATTCTTACTTTGTCGCCCTCGCAGTGTTCTCTGAAGCATGGTAGTGAATTTTTCCCTTCTTTATTATCATCTTTGCCGGTAGCTATTCATCAATTACGAGACGTGGTTATTCAAGGACATACAACCAAAAATATTATTGTGCTCTATTAAAGAAAAGGTTGAGTTCTGGGAAGAAGTGAAAATAATTTGTGAGCGTTTTCATTCTTATTATGCAAGTGTGGAAGAACATCAGATAAGACATGTTCCCTAAAAAGCATGGCTCTTCAAATGCCTTCATATTCTAAATATGTCATGTAACATCGTAAAACTCGGGGGTAGGATTTTTACGCCACGTGTTCGTTTAGTCCCATATACATCTTTCTGTGTACAGTGTTTGTAATTTTACCAAGACTTGGCCAAATTTCTTATCATTTTGATGATTCCAGAACCTTGCAATACACACAAATTCTTATATGCTAGATGATCAACCTTTTCTGGTCGATTCCACACCGTTTCTTTCACAATGCAATCGCATGACCAGAACTCAACTTCATCTTTAAGGGGGTATCTCACTGAGCGGCGAATGTTTGCAAACGTAGCGAATTTGGGGTTTCGCCAGGGTTATTCTTGTGCTTTTTTTGTTGGGGGCGGGGGGAGGGGGCTACACGCCTGTCAAGAGGGATCCCATATTATGCACACTGCAAAATTGCGTTCCCCCCCCCATCGCCTCTTTCCGGTCAATATTTTTCGCTTTACTGCCTAGCAGTCAGTAGCGCATTTCATGCCAGTAGTTTTGACCGATCAGAGGCTAAGACTCTTCATATGCGGTATCTCATTTTGTAGAACTATCTTATTAATATGATCAATTTTTATATCGTAAGGATCGCTGTAAAATATGAAATACTTGTTTGAAGCGACTCAACTGAGTACGATATAATCCATCAACTTATCGATTCCACTTACTGTTCTACTATATATTCATTTTTTCATCCAAAATGTGTTACCTCATAGATGTGAAATCTAAACGATTTTTTCGACGAAAGGTCTTGCAATATAAATTAAAGCTCTAAAGGGCCTATCTCACTGAGCAGCGAATGCTTGCGAACGTTGCAAATTTGGATTCGCCAACATTTCTGACGAATGTTGGCGAAAATCAGCGACATTAAGTGACGTTTAGCGACAATTAGCAACATTTGAGCGAATGTCTCCGAAAGTGTTTGCGAAAGGCAGTTGGCGACTATTAGCGACTGTAAACAAAATGTTTAATGTTAGCGACAACTTTTGCGAAGATTAGCAACTATTTGCCAATCCTTTGCCACTATTTGTGAACGTTTGAGACCTTTTGCTAACTACTGGTACTCAATGGGTCGATTTTATAAAGGAACCATATGGTAACGTGGTCGCTAGCTTTGGCGGAACACAGAGAACTGACGAAAACAAAGAGCAAAACCGTTTAACAACCGTTTGCAAAGGCTTACGACTGTTTTGCAAACGCTAACGACTGTTTTGCAAACGCCTGTAACTGTTTGCGGAAAAATAAATTCGCAAAGAAATTTTGAACATGTTCAAAATTTCTTTGCGACAAGAAAAACTGTTTACAACAAAGAAAACTGTTTGCGATCTTTCTTGCAAACTTTTACAACATTTTACAAACTCTGGCGAAACCCCAAATTCGCTACGTTCGCAAGCATTCGCCGCTCAGTGAGATAGTAAGAAGGGAGAATATTTATAATCTTGCTTTATCCGATCCGTATATCCTTCTCTCTCGCGCACCTAAATAAACATACGGCCGCAAGCCTATGCATCCCTTCCCTACTTTATACTACCCCGATACTACCTCTTAGATGTGTAATCTAAATGATTTTTTTTGGACGAAAAACATTGCAATATTTCTTATTTTCATCATGGATTACGCAGTTGGGCATTTCCAAAGCCAAATTAAAGCTCAAAGTGAAGTGAGAAGGGATATTATTTGTAATCTTACTTGATCCGTAGATCCCTCTGTCACGCACCTAAATACACATAAGATCACACGTACTTATACATCCCCTCCCTCTAGGTGTGTGTGTGTTTTCGCTTTCTCTCTCTCTCTCTCACTCTCTCGCTCTAATTGTATATATATATATATATATATCTTTTTCTCAACTCTCTGTCTCTTTCTATTTCGCCCTCTCTTGCTCCCTTTCTTTCTTTTTCTCTTTCTCTCCCTCTTTCACTCCTTCTCCCCCTCTCTCTCTCTCTTTCTATCTCTCCCTTTTTAATTTTGTTTCCCTATATGTATGTATCTCTCTTTTATACTCTTCATCTTGTTGGCGCTTCCCGATTCTCTAGAAACTGTATATGTTTTCTGCAATTAAACTCCTTAATATAGTTGTTTGCAGTTGCATTATTGTGGCTAGCAGGAAATTGATGATACATTGTATTTGAATTTTTGATTTTTTAATTTTGCTTCGAAAGAGTCGACAGAAAGACTTGTCTTTCTGACTTCGGTGCGGGAAGCAGCAAACAGAGTTGAAAAAAGACTTAACTCCGTTTCGTTGACGATAAGCCATGCATCAAGTCTTTCGTCTTCTTTGTGCATGGCTGTTCGTCAACAAAACAGAGTTAAGTCTTTTGTCAACTATGTTTGTTGCTACGGCAGGCAGCCAGTGAAAATGAACTCGTTCAATCAAATTATGGAAATGCAAGCATTACTTTAAACAAACAGAACTTTGTTTGTCCTGGCTCATTTATCCTGATTGAGGTGTCATATGAAAGGGCAGAAATTGAACTTTCTAGAAATCTGATTTTCTTTTTGAAATTCAGATACCGCCCGCCAAATGACTTTTTGGTTTCCTCTCTTCAAATTGTTTTAATCGCTCATCGCTCATGCGTGAAATATGCATCATATGAGTTGCACCAAATGAAAGAGGAGGATCTAAGCTTTACAAATATGTGTCATTTATTAATTATAATTGTGATAAAGTTATGATAAAACATTGATAATTCTTGGTTTCGATCTTTCTGGGACGCACTGTATATTTATATATAGATTATAAATCTTGCCAAAGAATGGAACTGGGCTCGATTAGCACTTGTGCTAACCTTTAGTTACTATTTACAACTTCTCATACAGATAAGTGACTCACATACTTACGCGTATATCTTTTGTACATTCAAAAGTATGCAAATCTATGTATAAATATCGTTTTAAAACCACTACTGTTCAATCAACATTACTCTTCTGTTTTATCTACATATCAGTATTATTTTTTGCATTGTAAGATTGTTCATATACAGTCATTATTGTGACGTGTGGTTGTTGATAACTTAAAAATTAAAATTCAATTTCAAATATTTGTATTAGAGAAGTAAATTGGTTCTGGAATGAAAGCTGAAAATTCGGTCAATGCATTTACACTTACACTGTTGCTGCTTTCTACATTACTCGTTATATCACGTGACAATACTTCATCTTACTTTAGGAACGGTTATGATCAGTCATCTTAACAAATAATGTACGAAACAAGTAATTCCGACCATAACTGCGATTACAGTGCCATCAGCTGACTGGTGGCAGCTCTTTGCATCTCCCAATGCCAAACCGGTCAGGTTTTCCGTCGTACCAATATCATCAGTATTTTCAGAGGTCGACTGAAAGATCTTGCTGCTGCCATCTTTCACACTCGGGTAACACTGAACCGACAGGTCAGAGTATTCGCCTGTCTCGTCGCCGTTGATGAGCTCGATATGGACGAGGACAGTGATGTCAAGCGTTTCCCCTTCACTGATGGCGCGACAAGTTAGAGAAATAGTGATCTCTTCTTCATCAACGTAAAGACGCCTGGAATCCAATTTTAGCCACAGTGATCCCGCTACTATTTCTATATCCGCCATCGAATGGTCCACTGACAGAGTCTCGTTGAAATCAACACCAGATTCTGCAGGAACCCAGGAAATTTCGGGAAAGGGATAAGATGCGGCGGGACACTAAACTAAAATCTCCGAGGTGTTCGATATTGCACAGGCTTGCTCTTCCAACACAGACAACGGACAAGGGAAACCATCTTTCAGTAGGTCCGACAGACGTTTGCCAGCATGTCCCTCTGGTGCAGAGCACTTGGTATTAACAAAGCTGATACTGTCCTCCACTTTCACTAACCAACGCTGGTGGTAGTCACAGATTAGTGTGCTGTCTCCCGCACTTACGAATGTCCTGAAAGGCGCTTGATCGGAGGAGGACCTAGGGATGATTTCACGTTCCAAATATGATAGCCTGTTGTCATCCAGGTTCAGTGTTGAGAGATTTGTCAGGATCTTGTAACCATTTCCACACCTCCAGGCAGAGAACAACCAAAGGTTGTTGCCTTTGAGGATCAGGACCTTCAGAGGATGTGATACGCCGCTCACATCGCAACTGGAGAGAACCCTGATGCGATTGTTTGAGAGATCAAGGGTATATAACCTAGGATATAGCTTGGTTAAGTCCTTCAGTTTAAGTTCTTCCAACAGATTGCCAGAGACATCCAAGCTGATCATCAAGGGAGCAAAGACTTGAGGAAGTTCAACAAGACCGGACTTTTGATAGTGAAGATATCTCAACTGTGTGTGGTACACTCTGTTCCTGTTACCATTGTATTCTTCTACAATCGATATGTTGATAAAGTATACCGCTACCGTGGTCTGGGTGAGGGAAGTATAGAACGAAGATGGACTAATAACTACATTTTTAAGCTCCAATGAGTTTAGCGTGTTTAGTGATAAAGGTGGACACGTATCGGCCACATCCTGAATCATCCCCCCATGGATTAGGACAAACTGAGCATGGTGTCCGCAAAGAACTCTAACAGAAACATTCAGTAAAGACGACCCGTACACAGCAAAATGAAAACTGTCCGTCAAGACATCATGCATTCCATTAGAAGTGAACTCTGTATGCCTTGATCCGATTGAAAGATTTTGTAATGAAATATTCTTTGTTGTATTCGTATCATAGTATGATATACGGTTTCCATCCATTGATAAATGGATAAGATTGTTAAAAATGGTAAAGGCGTCGAGTTCAAACCTATCGATGCTGTTGTTCGACAGATAAAGAGACCTTAGATTTGGGAAATTATTAGATATCTGACGTGGGATTCTTTTAAGATGGTTTCCACTCAGGATAATTGAATGCATTTCAGGGAACACTCCGTGCACTATTGGAAAAGCCAGCAAGTGTGTGTTTTTTAGAGACAGTGTGAAGAGATGAGGAAGGGACTGCAATATGTTGGGCGAAATAAAATTGAGTGGATTGTCATCCAAAATCAGGGTTTCCAAGCTGGGAAGATAAGCAATACCAAATATTTCGGATATCAGGTTGCTAGTCAGGTCGAAAAAGCACAAAGACTGCAATCCTCTGAATGAGTCGCTATCTACTCTTGTTAGTTTTGCGTAGCTTAACTGGAGATTCGTCAGTGGTCGGATAAATTCGATTTGATTCTTGTTCTTCATTGGGTTGTAGCTTATAGTGATATCAAGTATTCTACGCAGATTGGAAAAAGCTAGAGCTGAAATACTATGAATTTTATTTTTCGACAGGTTGATCGATTGAAGATTTTGAGCATCGAACCGTCCTGATATAAATGCTATTTCATTGCTTGACAAACTAATTGTTTCCAAACTAGGTAAATTTGCAAGATCGGAAGCTGATATTTTGACAATTAGATTCTTGTTTAAATCAACATTTACCAGGTTACTTAATCCAGAAATACGGGAAATGGATGTCATCAGGTTATCGTTTGCTGATATGGAGGACAGCATAGGTAGTAGGGTTAAATTGTGGATATCCTTTATAGAGCACGAGTTGAAGTTTACAACGCGAAGGTGTGTATGGCTTTTCATAGTAACTTCATCCATTTCCCCTTCGACAACTGAAAGAATCTGCAGCCTAGGCATCTTGGTCAGTATCCTTGCTATCCCATCGGAAAGATCGGGAGAACTTTCCACAGTAATTGTCAGTTCTGTGAGATTTTCGAGAAGTGGGATTTCCTGCAGTTTGATGACCTCACTCTGATACGAGACAAACAAACCTTTTAATGAAGGGATGCCGCTGATGTTACCAAGTTCAGAAAGTATGTTGTTGTTGAGATATATGTTGTCAAGCTCTGGATTGAAGGCATCCCTGAAGATTTCACGGATCCTGTTCTCATTTAGGATCACAGTTTCTAAACCAGGCAACAAGAAAGAACCGCTCGATATCTGCGAGATCAGGTTACTTGTAAGATCTACTCTCTTTAACTGCAGGAGACCCGAGAGTGAGCCCCTGTCGATGGACGTAATTCTGTTAAAGCTCAGGCCGAGGGTTCGTAGTTTCTCTGGAAACTGATCGCCTTGGATAAACGTGATCTTGTTGTGATCCAGCATAAGCCCATTTAGTTTTGGAGCATGGGCCTTCAGGTTACTACCAATGCTGCGAATATTGTTGAACCTCAAGTAGAGTTCTTGTAGTGACGTGAGATTGTGAAACACGGGAATGGCCGTGAGGGCGTTGTGGGATAGAGTAAGGTATTTCACCTGGCGGAGGATCGTAAACAGCCAATCATCGATAAACTTGAAACCGTTTTCCCTTAAATCGAGATAGATGATGCCTGTCCGATTCTGGAAAAGATCAGGTGATAATTTCGAATGTGGTATATTAAGATCGAGGCCACGGAAGGCTACATCTTCAAAAGTGTGTTTTAGCTGAGCCCCTACCCGGAACACCCCTTTGCAGGATACGTGTTGTAATGCACCAAAACATGAGCAGTCTCTGCAGATATCAATGTTTTCAGGAGCAGCGAAGTAGAGCATAGCAATCAGCATGAACAAAACAAAACATGGTTGACCAGTATGTTCCTGTCGTTTAGGTGCCATCGTTCCGTCTTTGGTAATGAAAGAACCTGGGAGTGTAATAACAAAGACAGTGCAATGACGGACGTATTTCCGAATGTTCAATATTCCGATAGTTCTTGATTTCGAAGGTTAACCATTCCAAACTCAAAAACTTTCCTTATAAGGAGCATTATTGCTCAGTATTTAAAGGTGACTTCCAACCAGATATAACGTTGATTTTAATAGAACCAGAAAATGAGAGAAACAGGTGCGTAAAGGTTTTAGCAGCGTAACTGTTTGAAAATAAGAAAGGTATGAATATTTGAAGTTGTGATTAATCAAACACAAATTGGCAACTATGCGACGTATCTTGCGAGCTCCCGTCCCATTTCCCACGTATTAAAAAAACTTCAGAAATTCATATTTTCTCTAAAGAAAATGGTTATATATACATTTACCGTAGACGTCTTAATATCGAGACTTTAATCTACATTCAATTGCCACACTCCACCCAGGTGAGGTAAATGGGTACTCAGTAGAAAGATATTCCCACAATGCTGCAAAGATACGTCAAAGTGTTGCCACTTTGTATTTCAGTGATGACAACTAAGAATATTAATAACTTTTCAATGTTATATATATACCGGATATTGCTAAAATTTATCTAATTCGTTTCTTTCTTTTTCTACTTTTTATTAAAGCAAGTTGATATCAGGGTAGACTTCCCTTGTAAAGTTACTCGGTTACATTATTAAAGATTGATGAAAAAATGCAAAGTTTTCATAAGAAATATTACTTATTATGTTCCTTCTACTGTACTAACATGCCAAAAATCCTGAAAAAAATTCCCAAACCCCAAATATATTTATGGTTTTCTTTGAAGGCGTCACTGTGCGACACCTTCTTACAGTAAATTCTCCAAACCGTTTTTCCATGAAAATAAGACATAAGACAGGCTTTTAATACTAAATATTATTATTATCATTATTAATATTTAAATGTCTGGAATGGTATATGGAGTCAATGCATTGCTTTGTGATGATTTTCGTTCACCAAAAATGTAATTAAATTGTAATAATATAGTTGGGAGAATTAAGGAATCGATCAGTTCATTTTTCCCCAATTCTTATCATTAATCATGATCTGTTTTTACTCAAACGTTCAGATTGTCTTTAATTATACTTCTATCATTGAGGTCACTACCTTTAATGACACTATTTTCTCTTATCTGAACAATGTTACCAAGTCCCTCTTATGGTGTAAATTCCTCACTTTTGGTGCGTTGCTCTAAAATATTACAGTACGTCACACCCTATACGATCCTCCAACGATCCAATTTTCGAAGAAATGGCAATTGTATTTGATATTAAATCTAGCTAAACAAACATCATCGTCCGTGTATATTTCCTAAATAATGAAATGAATTCCAACAATCGGAATTTTTTAGTGCATTTGAGCCTTCTACTCAGAATCAGCTTAAAATTGTAAACGATCGCACTACCTGTCTGACGTCCGACTTCGATTCTGAGCCGATATATCTTTTCCTTTCCAAAATGAAGCTCGATATCCTTTGAACTTTACTTGGTTTAAGGTAATCCCTGAAGCAGCTTTTCCAGGCTATTTTGGGATGGGATGTGTTGTGACAGCAGGTGAAGGTGCACGCAAGAAAGTTGTAACATTTCTATACAGTGCGTCCCGGAAAAAACGAAACCGAGAATTATCGATGTTTTTATCATAACTTAATCACAATCATAATTAATAAATGACACATGTTTGAAAAGCTTAGATCCTCTTTCATTTGATGCAACTCATATGATTCATATTTCACACATGAGTGATTAAAAACAATTTGAAGAGAGGGTACCGAAAAGTCATTTGTTGGGCGGTATCTGAGTAATCTGGTAATGAGCCAGTGTTTTCTGTACCCTTTCCAGACCTTCGGCAACACCAGAAGGTGTGTGGGTTCCAGGCTTCAGCGCCATACTAATCATTCTACTATTTAGATCCTTAATCATTAAGTTTTTTACAAGTTCGGATGTTCACATTAAATGCCATTGTAAATTCTCCCAAAATCGGATCGTAGTCAGAACGTAAAGTTTGCGGTGGGCTTAATAGAAAATAACTTTTGATTAAAATGCAGCCCAATTAAGAACGTTGAGCTGTGAGACATTGAAGTGCAAGCGTTGTGAGTGCCCATTAGAGGCGCTAGATACAAGAAGTCATCACTATTATCACCATTTAACAATTTACAGGCCTTACACAAAAGGTTTATGATTTGGAAATTGATAAATCGTGATTCCAAAAAGAAAGTATTTCCTATTCTATTTGCTGAATTAGGAAACCTAAAAATTATGGTTCGTATTTCACTATCGAAACTATGAAAACTGTTTCATTTTCCGAAATTCCAAAGCTTTATACTTCCCATAATTCACCTCTTTATATTATGAATATTTGGAATAACTTGCGAATCTTAGTTGAAACGGACTTTTGGATTAACACCATAAATACCAATGAAAATGTATATTTGATATATTTGAGAAATCAATTTACTAAAATGTCGATACAATAATAACTATAAATACCATCACTAAATGTTATGACAAATACAGATCTACACATTTCTTTTCTTTCAGGCGCCATTCTGTCACGACTTCCAGCCTTTTGCAGCATTAAGATTTCAGAATGTATAACAGTGTGCTCATTGATTAAAGTGTTTTTTTTTATTGTGAAATAAAGTTTTGAACCATGAAAAGAGTAATTCTAAATTTAAAAATGTGATTTACATTAATCGAAGTGAAATGCATTTTACTATAATATATTTTGAATTCATAGTTTAAAAGTTTCTGCTAAAGAATTGTTTATGGTTTCTCCATGTTACGTAAAAATGTTAACGTGAAATTAAGTTTAGAATGACGAAAAGAGTAATTTCCAATTTATAAGGTCATCCAGACTAATCAGAGAAACTTAATAATTGACTAACAATCAAATACACTCCAACAATTCTCTTCTAACAGCACTATGGTTTAATTTTAATTCTCGTTGAAACTATGTTGAAGGCAAGACAACAAAAATTAACTTACCAAAGAAAAAATAAATCCGGACCCGGAGAACAACTGTACTAATAACTATCTACGATCAGGCAGAAAAACACATTTTCGTTGTTTCATCCGAAATAGCGAATATAATGATCCTATCGGAAGCTTATCTCAGCTACGAGAGGTGTTCTGCAAGTGGACATAATTGAGCTCACACGCGTGCTCATATGCATTCCATATAACTTGCGATTACAATTATCCTAGCCATGATGTGATTTACCTTTGTAAACTCAATGTGCGGATTAGCAATTCAATCCAATGACCGGTGTAATAACGATTATTACATCCTGCATCAAAATAGTATTGGTTTTTGATTGGTTAAAAATGTGTCACATGATCCAAAATAAACACTTTCTAGCAAAAAGTACTATTAACCTGAAATAGGCGGTGCATAATTCTTTACAAATAATAAAGTAATGGCAATTTTATGTCGATATTCGTTATTTCGACCCTTTATGCAAAAAGTCCGGGATCCCTCTCGTGCATCTCTTGCTAACCAACACTCTTGTAGTGATACTTAAGACCCATTTTTTTACTCTTTAAAGGCCACACATGTAAACTTCCTGTGCCACTTCGTATTCATCATTAGATAAAAATACCAAAGGTTTCAAGATTTTTCAACTGTTTCTATTGCAAGATTAATGTATATCAGTATTGAAAGGACTTTCATGGAGCTTATGACGACCAGAAATGGGTAATTTTGCAAAGCCATTTTGTTGCACAAAGCAATCCTTCATTCAGCCGGTGCTCATATAGTGTGAGTCAAAAAAAGTTTACACCTAGCAAATTGCTAATTGTTTTAAAAATCATCTATGAACAGTAAATTAGTATGCATCTTGTGAAAGAGTGTTTGATCCCGAATCATTTAGTATCATTTTGTGTGGTACGTGTTCACGCTTGGATGAACAGCAGTCGTTGTTTGTGAGCGTGCAAAAATTCGACTTGCGCCAAAGTTGCTTATGTGATGTTGAATAAAACAATTGGGATTTGGGTATTTATTCGGTCTCTGCAAATCCAAATAACATCCCTAACAACACAAATCAGGCCACACATATCAAATATCGAATATAAAATATCAACAAACATTTGTGCGCATGCGTGTGTGTGTGACTTTGCTTCTTCCAAAAGCATATGCAATGCATTTCATTTGATACATTCAAATTTACTCTCTCACTCCGCTAATCGCAACATAATACATACTGTAGGCATCACTTAGGCGCAAGTCGATTTTTGCACTCTCGCAAACAATGCCTCCTGTTCATCCAAACGTGAACACATACCACACAAAAATGATACCAAAGGATTTGGGATAAAACCTCTTTCATAAGATGTATAATAATTTACTCTTCATAGATGATTTTTGATATAATAAGCAATTTTCTAGGTGTAAACTTTTTTTTTGACTCACACGGTTGTGTTTTGTGCAAAAAACACGTGTGGCAAGTAGCGATAGTTTTAACCGTGACCCGAAAAATGAGCAGTCCGTTATTTCTTTCATATACCGCATCTCAAGTGTCAATTCTTAAAAAGAGAAAGGCAAACATAATTTGCCTATCAAACAGGATTTATATAGAAAAGGAAATTTACCCGTCTTAGAGCTTTGCATGTGTCTCAGCGCACATATCCATCGTTAATCTTTCTTTGAGTCCTTGCATTGTGCGCGCAAGTATAACTATGCCCGGTCAATATTTTTCGCTTTACTGCCCAGCAGTCAGTAGCGCATTTCATGCCTGTATAGTTTTGACCAATCAGAGGCCTAGAATCTTCATACGTCGTATCTCATTTTGTAGAATTATCTTATTAATATAATCAATTTTTATATCGTAAGGATCGCTGTAAAATATGAAATACTTGTTTGAAGCGACTCAACTGAGTACGATATAATCCATTAACTTATCGATTCCACTTACTGTTCTACTATATATTCATTTTTTCATCCAAAAACTG